CGCTCTCCTTTTGGACCCATGGTGTATTCATATTATGGAAAGTTGTACGAATTTCCATTCCTTTGCTGTATGCATTATGAACGGTAAGGCGAATCTCTTCATTCGAATGCGAGGAACCTTGAATACGAACGAATAGACTTTTTTTATGTTTTTCAAACACTGTCCTTACTGGATGATAACATTATCCTGCGTTGTAAGGACGTTTTACATTGATAAATTTCACGTTGAGAAACATTCAGATCCGAAACAATTAACCATGGGTTTCACAAATAGTTGTCGTGTGTGGGAATTGAACCGGCAAAGCCAATATATTTGTAACTGCGCCACGGAGTCATCAAATTGTCCGTTAAGGTGTGGGGAGAAACTGGGTCGTGCAATTTCCTGCGCACACTACGAAATGTATCCCATAGAATACAGAGACAAACACCGTTTAATATATATATAACTTATGGTACGCAGAGATGATGTGGTAAACCCACAGGCTGAGTTACGGCCAATTCACTATTGCCTTGAAAACACTCGAATAACATTTTTTGTTTTCAAGCCAAAGTCAAAATATCTTTATTCAATATAGGCTTAACTTAAGCTCTCGTTGAACGTCCACCTTAACTATCCTAACTATAACTAACACCTTATTTCTTTAAACTACCACTTAAAATAACTCAACCACTACATTATACAACTAAGCATGTTTTCAAATCTTTTTCTGAATAATTGTTATCGTTTCGTTAAGTTTAAATATTTTAGTTGTGGTATTAAAAAAATCATTTTATTATTATTATGTCTGCAGTTGGATACAGCACGAATATATAATAGAAATAAAGAACATCTAAACGGTTTTAAAGTTTTTAGGTCGCACGTTAGATTTGTTTGGAGAATTTTTACGTTACGTGAGGTATTACGTGAAATGCGCAAGTAAAAACATCACAATAAATCGATAATGCAACGTTGTCTTTTTTATCACTCGCCTTCCTGGCCTCATTGGTTGCTTCTACTTGTATCTACGCGAATATTATCAACACAGATATCAATTTTACTGTGGCAGGGTCACGCAGCATTCTTCGCCGATTCACGAAGGGACAGTTCCGTCCGGGGAAGTACCCAGACCACACAGAAGATCGGTGCGAAGTGGAAGTGTTATAGTTCTACATTCCGTCTGATGAGGGATGTAGCCGGAGCCCACTTTATTAAAAGGTGGCAACACATCTGTAAACGGTGTTGCAAATGTCCGTGGGCGGCGGTTATCACTTAACATCGGGTGAACCGCCAGCTCGTTTGCCACTTTCTCACAAAAAAAGTATACTTCTGCGTTCCGTCTGTTGAGCGAGGTAACCGGGGCCCACTTTATTGAAAGGTGGCAACGCATTTGTATCCCAGTGTAGGTCATCGTTGAAACGCCAGCTCGCTTGACGTCTTCTTACAAAAATAAAAAAAATCCCCAAAATCCGCCGAAACAGCCCCATTTTACCAAAGTCCCGATTTTGATCGGACCCCTGGCGACCCTGACATTGACGGCCGAGTTGAACGTTTATCATGCAATGTTTACGCTAAGTCTCAACACGTAATAATTGATACTGCTTAATGCACATTAAAATTAATAACGACAAAGTAAAGTAATAATAATAATATTACGGGACATGTTTTTACACAACGTTGTCTACTCTAAAACTCAGCAAAGCTTGTAGGTATTGTGAGTAACTGATAGACATAATGACACATATTTTTCTTTTGTAAATAAATACATATTATATAACTATGTTCATAACGCAATATTTTCCAATAGTGGGTACTGGGTATCGAACCAACACCCTATTCTATATATACAATACACCCTATTCTATATATTCGAGCAACCTGATTTCAAATCCCGGTGCCATCACCAATGAAATTGTTTATTTTAAGTTCTGACTAATCACCTGCTTAGCAGTGAAGAAAAAATTGATATCAAAATATGCAGAATGTTTTCACCTCGCCTCACGATGTTTTTCTTCACCACTAAGCAGGTCATAGGTCACAACACAAATTAAAAAATCGAAGATGTTTTTTGCCGCCAATCCGCAGTGAGGGCAGGAGAAAAGGGCGAGATTTAATCGTATGCAATATGCATACAATTGAATCTCTTATATTGTAAGTACTAAGTACGTAGCCAAGGCAATATAAAAAAAAATTGTGTAATTGTAATTTTCGACTGGGGTAAGGCCACACAGCATCTTTTACTGTTGCACGAATGGGCAGGCTCATCCTCACAGAAGACCAGCATGAAGTGGAGGTATTACATATTCGCGTTTCATCTGGTTAGTGAGGTAACCGGGGCCCACTTATCTAAAGGTTGTCGCATTTACAAGCCCACAGTTGTTGCAGGTGTTCATGGGCGACGGTAATCACTTATTGTCAGGTGTGTGTATTAAAGTAGTAAAAGAGTGACTCCTTAAAATAATGCTAGGTGTCAGAGTGCTTATTTGTACATATAAAAAAATTAACAAAAAAAAAGTTATATATTTTTTCTATTTTTAGTGATTTAATTTTAAGGATCTTTTTCTATTGATCATTATATTCAACTAAGACAATTATTTGACCATAACGACGTTACGATAGATGACTCAAATATCCGGATAGCCTATGAAAGATTCCGCCGAGTATCGTTAATTTGCAGCTAAGAATTGAAGTTCCGTTACTTTGTTATGGATCCCATAATCAGAACCTAACCAAAGTCATCTAGCTACCCTTGAAATATATCCTTTGAAATAAAAAAAGAATCGTCAAAATCAACAAACAAATAAAAAAGTAACATAAAAAAAACACAGTCGAATTGAGAACTTTCTCCTTTTTTGAAGTCGTTTAAAAGCTCTTATAATAATCTCGGCATACAGTCAAGGAAACATTAGAACAATTTTACTCGCACTTTGTTCATGAATAGCCGAGCGTCAAATTTAATGACGAATCTATGAATAATACCGTCAAAACTTCGTATCAAATTAATTGTAGTTACAATAAAATAAAGTAGTGGTGCAGCCTTGGAGCGTCACGGGAGAGGAGTTTCAAAATTTTGCACAGCCTTGAAGTAAAACGAACCGGTTTTAGACAAAGAATGCATGAAAATCTAACTATTCGATACGTTTCAAGGACCAGCCGCTTAATTGTAAAACTTAGGAGCTGATGTAACATTTCGGCTGTTTGTGCTTTAATTGAATTTATTAGAATTTTACACGGATCTTACGAATTTGTGAGCGCACTCTAAAGACCTTGTCTGATGCCAAGGCTACGCTAATAATATCGAATAATCGAACAATTAAATGTGCCACTGAACCCATTTTAATTTTATTCTGGTCTTTTTTAATTACATTTTTTTAGAGTTTCGAACTTCTTACAGACTTGTAGCTAGTGTTCCAAGTAAGAAAACATATTTGCCGCAAAATAGCCACGTCAATAGTACCAAATTTTTATTAAACTAAAATAATTCATAATTTCCAACTATAGATTGTAGGATCATGGATGTAAGTAATTTATCGCAATTTCCAATTTTACAAATAGTTTATAAAATATTAAATCTTATTGAAATTTATAGAAAAAAGGTCTTTCGCTATTGTGGGAATCTAACCTATGACTCGACTTCGGGATTCGCGCACAGACGCTTTAACCACTAAGTGACTAAGCTTAACGGCTTCTTTTATCTACACTGTCTTTTCGGATTTCAAGCAATGCTTGGCGCAACTATTGTTTCATCCTTTACAGCATACAAATTTCAAATATCGTTCCACAAAGATAATTAGTACCAGACTCCTTTTTTGTACAAACTTTTAATGTTTCCTTTTAAGTGTAGAGATTAGCACTATAAAAAAAATTAAACATTAAATTTTACTTGTTTATTACTACCCTTCTTGTGGGTTAGAGCAAATAAATCTTCTTACGTCGATTTATTTTAGTATCTGATGCCATGAATCCTAAATAAGCGAGGATGTTGTCTAGGCGTATCATGTGGCAAATCTTCTAAACTCATCGACGTCTATGTACGGTAAAGTCAGTCAGCGTTACGTACACAGCTTAAAAGCATTTACGCATACCGCGACACTGGCCATTGTTCTCTTTTTGGACGAAATAGACCCTGCACCGTGTGCATTGCTCCACTGAAAATAATTCGAACAGACTTGATGGGGATATAGCCCTATCTACATTATTTGATTCAGATATGTCCTAATGATGTATTTAATTCACTTTTTGTTAGGCTTTTGACACAATAGTTTTGTGTGATCGATTGTCGCCAGCGGTACTTCCGTGTTTCTTTATTTATCGATAACCGATCTTCCAGACAAGGATCTGTATTAGCAGTTTACTATTCTTATTCTTTTTAATACATATTAACTTGGCTTCAAAATTTCTACAGCAGATTGATCAAAAATAAAATGGCAAAAGAGTTATTGGAAGTTACAAATTACGTATGATGATGATAACTGGCGAAAAGTGGAACATTCAGCTTTAATCAAAACGAAAGCAGATCAGCTTCGAGATTATGATTTCAGTGGAGTTAAAAAGAAATAAAGGGGAAGGATAAAGAAAAGATAAATATATAAATATGTCATAGAAGGATATAAAGTAGTATATAATCATATGTTTTTAAAATACATAATAGAATGAACACAGCTGTATCCTAACAACTGAAAGTTAATTCAAAGTTGTTTCATTAAGGATTATATTCAACCTTAACTATTACAAAATACTAAAATACAAAAAACATATAAGCTAAGAATCTATTTAAAATTAAAGGAAATATTTAAAGAATCTTGTTGGAAATGTGATTTAATAGTAATAAAATCTTTTGGAATTTATAGACCTATGTACAAAACATCATCACACTTTTGCCACAAATAATACTGCATCATCTACTAACTAACATAATATAATATTTAACAAATTTATGCATATATACCCATAATAATTAACATTTTACTATTGCAAACAATATGACATAATTGAGCATAAAAAAAATTATAAATACAACTCACCCACGAATTGCACCCACTTGCTGATCCGCTGGAAGCTCTACAGCAGCAAAGAGGTGCATCTCACCTTCGCGGCCAAAAACTCCACCCGGTATCTTCCTACATGTGTCACACTTTAAATCATTGCATGCAAATTACACTGAATTCTTAATACAAAGGACTATGGATGTATGCATCTAGTGTGCTGGACTTATTGTAAATGATACAATTAATTATCTCTCTGGCATTCACATAATCCAAGTGATTAGCATGATTACATGATACAAATTCAAAATCATGAAAAACCTATTAACACATAAGAACTTATATCAATCCTTATTTATTATTAGTTTATTATCATGTAGACTAAACTTACACTTTAAACTTTCATAATAATAAACAAACTATTTTTCTCTAAATAATCAGGATAATCCTAAAACTACACCAGAATAGTAAGCATTATTCTTTTATTTAATTTCTCTAGACAACTACACAAAAGTATTTTAAACATTTCTCACCTAAGGAACTTTTTTAAAACACTCGCGATTGTATATACAGAATAGTTATCCACATTTACAAGACGACCAGTTTGTAAAAAGTGTATTAACTTTTTCATAGCACCTTGATGTCCGGGAGCACGGAAAACGTCGCGGCGTAAAGGGGCCTCCTTATTTAGTTTTAGTATCAGCACCTAAAAGCAACAGGAAATTACACGAATATCCAGTTAAAAACAATATTCACAAATAGTCTTAATACTAACAAGCAAAGGCCCAGGTATATCATCTTTGCAGACCTCATGAAGAGGAACACCAAATTTTACTTTTTCCAAACGTCTAGGGTACGGAAGGGAATTAGGATGTCCGCAAGACGTGACCACATTGCTCAATGTAGCAGCTCGCCGGTGCATCCGTCGCGCCCAATTGCTCATTTTAGTTGATGTTTTGAGAACCGATGGAAAGTTCAATCAAGCGCAGCTGTTTTTCTTCCATAAACTTTTATATAAATGCACATTTTATGTTACGATGATGTTTCGGCAATAATAAATTACGTGTAATAACAATTGTCGTTATAATAGGTAATTTCAATTTCGCCCCAGAGGCGGCAAAGCATTTAATATTTTCGTTTTAGCCACACCTCCATCTGCATTTATTTATGTTTTAATTATAAAACAGCTGCTTTAATTTGCAATCAATTGCACGGTACAAGTAATCTAATCTACAGCCGAAACTTTTTCCTTCAAACGAAATGTATAGCTGATTGTCTCGTCTTGACCTTACTACAAATATGAAGTTAGCAATTTTCCAGATTCCATAGCTATTCGTAGGCAGACAGACTGCTCCTAAACCAATAGGATTGAAAGGTCACAGATAACAAAGAAAATATTAGGGATGAGGCGTATATACTGAAACAGGTATAAATACCCAGTATGAACATACCAGTACGCGCACCGGGTATGTACGGCAGAGGCCCGTTCCATACCCGATAGGTATGGTCGCCTTGTCCGACGATGGCGGTATATAACGCTCGCGACAACCCGCCGGCCGAATAGGTACGAAGTTCCCCGAACGCTTACGGCGGCTCTTCCCGATCATGCCCGAATTGAAACGTATGATTTAGGCATTTTATACCAAATAATTCTTTGAAATAAATTTATTCTTTATTTCTATGACCATAAGTTAAATAAATAATTGCGTAATAAGGTTAAAGTAATATTTATTTTGAATTACTTTTTTTTGATAATAGGGTTCTTTACGTTAGTAAAGATGGAGCTTATTTTAGACTGATTAAATCTCAATCAAAAAAAGTGATTGCTAAAAAAACATCTAAATGTTCCAATTCCAACCAAAGAAAGGTTCAATTCCATACCGGGTCTCCAAAAGGAGGCCTGAACATAACTAATACCTATAGATATTTTGATACTGGGTTTTAGCACCGCGTATACGGCGATACCCGTACCTTTGAGGCCTGGTATAGAATGTTGCAGGTATATCTCATGCCTAGAAAATATCTTAATTGTTTTTTCATATTACAACACCATACCAGCTTGAAAATTACATGTACAACGATTGAATAGCTTATAGAGCAAGATCCCCTGAACCCCAAACCTTCGTAATTTTATAAAAGCTGAAAGTTTGTCAGCGCAATCTCCCAAGGTAAGAAAGATGGATAAAGGTATGTAAAATACCGATCTAAATTCATCAATTAATAAAATGCGATTTTTTGGTATTACCTTCAGAACATTATTAAAAATCACGTTATTCATTGCCAGACACTTAACATCGTGGTAACCCCTTGCCAGACACTGTTCATGACATTATAATTTTATTTACGTTATAGTATAAAAGTAGATTTCTATATAATATAATACTTGGTTAATAAGTAAATGATGTTTCCACATTAGGCAGACATTTTTGATAGTTCCAACCCCTTGCCAGACAAGCAAGTAGGGTACTTGTAAAAGCGGGTGCGAGACAGTATATACGAGGGGAGACCAAAAAGTTTGCGAAATGAGGGGGATAGGGGGTGAAATTAAATATTAAATTATTTATCCTTTTCAATATATTCCTCCTTAACATTAATACATTCCTCATATATATGAAATAATATAAGGAATGTACTAATATTAAACTGCCTTATTATTTATAGATGGGTCGTATCGCTTTTTCTGAGTACCGTATCTGAATCAGATTTCGATTTCAAATATCAGATTTCGAAACTATGTATTTTAATATCTAGATATTTTACGGTCCCGTATCCACCTTGAATTCTAAAAAAAAATAAAAAAATTAAAAATTAAAAAATAAATGTAAATTGTGAAGGCATATTTAAAAGTTGATTCATTTCATTCATTCATTCATTCGACGATCATTATACCTATACATATCTAAAGCTATTACCAGTGATACCAACTGTTCAAAAGAATACTTCTAAATAAATTCGAAAACCCATTAAAATTGACTAAATTCAAAAACCTTACTGAATTTAAAATCACACTTTTTTTATACTATTAAGGTAAAATTAAAACATTACCTGAATAAATTAAAAATTTCATTAAAAATAGAAATTGAAGTAATATAAAAAAATGATTTATTTCAACATCTTATATATCGCTTAATAATTGAGTTTAACATATTCTTAGAACACGCAATCATGAGTGACAATATTTTTATAATTTGTGTAAGAAATAATACATTCAGTATTATAACTTAGGGCTGAAGAATTTAAAATATACACACAAAGCACATAAGCCTTGGTCTGATTTCCACCCAAGCAGCACAGCACTATTAAATTATATTTTTCTTTTTGTGTAGTTTTAATTTTTTTCCAAAAATATGAATAAAATTTAACGAATAAAAATATTCACAAAAAATTTACCTCCTAAAAAATTTCCATTTATATTTTTCTTCCTTAATTTAGGCAGAAAATTCTTAAGTAGTAAGTTGGCATCCCTTACTATTAAGTTAAACAAAATTTAAAGACATCGTTAATACCGTAATTCGTATTTAAATGCAACTAAAAATGTTTTTTTCCATGCTGTTAAGATTCAAAATTACTTAACTGCGCGCTTTGTCGCCCGTTACGGCTCAAGGCTAAACAAAACAATAAAAATATACTTAATAACATCGTTGTAGTAATCGTTGATACCATGATTAGTATTTAATTGAAACGGATCTTATTGATATGATTTTAAGATTCAAAATTACTTAACTTATTCAAAATATCTGTTTAAAAATCTGATATTGTGCCTTGCTTGCCGTACTGCTCTAACTAGTGTAATATTTGTATCTCTCGCGCTTTGTCGCTCAAAATCTGTTTAAAAATCTGATATCGTGCATTGCTTGCCGTCCCGCTCTAACTAGTGAGTATTTATATCTCACGCGCTTTGTCGCTCGATATCTGTTTAAAAATCTGATATCGTGCATTGCTTGCCGTCCCGCTCTAACTAGTGAGTATTTGTATCTCACGCGCTTTGTCTCTTGAAATCTGTTTAAAAATCAGATATTGTGGCAAACGCGTGTGATATCGCGATTCGTGTCGGTACAGTGAGCACGGTACATCAGATTTCGGAAATATCAGATATTGTAAAATATATAGATATTGAACGAGCCAGTAAGGGATATTCGGATATTGTACTAATATCTAGTTTTCATATCTGATACGATATGTATCGCCCACCACTAGTTTTCAGTATATATGTCTTATCTATGAGTTTTCATTTGAAAATTTGAATTTGAGTTATTTGTTGCGGATTCAAACTAATTTTGGTAATAATTATAATACTTTATGTAACTATCACTGACTTTTAACAACATATTCATAAAATTAGAGCGTGTCATTATTAATTTAGTTTTATTTCTCAGAATTCAAAGGAAAATGGCGAACTTGGAAGATGAATGGCAAGAGTCCGACTCTGAAATTACCCCCGTGCGAACACAAAACACTAGAAATAGACCTAATTATAGTTCAGGTAGCTCACAAAACAGATACCAGCAAGGACACAGCGCGGGAATGAATTGGAGACGTAATAATTCTGGAGATTTTAATAGCGACCGTAACTTTGAGGAAAAAAAAGTAATATCAGTTTCTTCACAATACGTTGGACGTATTATAGGAAAAGGAGGCTCTAAAATACGCGAACTAATGAGCGATTCAAAAGCATACATCAAAGTTCAAAATTCTTCAGGTCCCGAAACCAACATAACACTATGTGGTTCATCTCAAGCTATCACAAAGGCTCAAGAACTAATAGATGAAATAACAGAAAATTATAATACACCGCCAAAAAATGAGAATGATACCTTTAGCAGTGCAACCGGTGATAAAGCCAGTAATAATTTTTTTAAATTAAGTGATGAAGGTGTGCAAGTTATTGATTGGGAAAAGCTTAATGCACATCATGAAAAGGAACAAAAAGAACGATGGGATAATTTGCCTCCTATTATTAAAGACTTTTATAATGAACATCCAACAGTTAGTAATATGTCACCTGATGAGGTACTTAACTGGCGGCGCAATAACTATGATATACAAGTGAAAAGAACTTTTGAAGACTGTCCAGGCTTAAAACCTATTCCAAATCCTGTATTGACATTTCAACAAGCATTTCAAGACTACCCGGAAATTTTAAATGAAATTGCTAAACAGGGATTCAAGCAACCATCACCAATTCAAAGTCAAGCATGGCCTATTCTACTTAGAGGAGAAGACTTGATAGGTATAGCACAAACAGGTACTGGGAAAACTTTGGCATTCTTATTACCAGCATTAATTCACATTGAAGGCCAAAAAATTCCAAGAGAAGAGAGGGAAGGGCCTACTGTTCTGATTTTAGCACCAACTCGTGAACTCGCTATTCAAATACACAAAGAAGTATCTAAATATCAATATAAAGACATTAAATCTGTTTGTGTGTATGGTGGTGGAGACCGGAAGGAGCAAATTAAAACTGTAGCTAAAGGTGTTGATATTGTTATTGCTACACCAGGGAGACTAAATGATTTGGTGCTGGCCCGGCATTTAAACATAATCAATTTTTCTTATATAGTTTTGGATGAAGCTGATAGAATGTTAGACATGGGTTTTGAACCCCAAATACGTAAGTCATTATTTGACGTAAGACCAGATAGACAAACAGTAATGACTTCTGCCACATGGCCACCAGGAGTACGGCGTTTAGCAGAATCATACATGAAAGATCCAATTCAAGTCAATGTAGGTTCATTAGACCTTGCTGCTGTACATACAGTGACACAAAAGATTATGTTTGTAGAAGAAGCACATAAAGAAAATATTCTACTGAGTTTTATATGGAACATGGATAAAACTGATAAGGTAATAATATTTTGTGGCAAAAAAGCTATAGCTACACATATCGCTACAGAGCTTTGTTTAAAGGGAATAGAATGTCAATCATTGCACGGAGACAGAGATCAAAGTGATCGTGAGGCTGCATTACAAGATATGGTTCATGGAAATGTGAATATTTTAGTAGCAACAGATGTTGCCTCTAGAGGCATAGATATACAAGATTTAACCCATGTTGTCAACTTCGACTTTCCCCGCCATATTGAAGAATATGTTCATAGAGTGGGCAGAACAGGTAGGGCAGGGAAAACTGGAATTGCTTTATCCTTCATCACTAAAAATGACTGGGCAAATGCAGGTGATCTTATAAAGATCCTCGAAGAGGCCAATCAAGAAGTTCCATCGGAACTTGTTAGCATGTCTGATAGGTTTAATGCTATGAAATTACGAAAAGCAGGGGAAGAAATGAGATGTGGGAGAGGAAGGGGTAATAGAGGTAGGCGAATGTACAATACATAATATAAAATATTTCAAGGGTTATAATTTGATTAAATTAAGTGAAACAATGTTTGCATCACTTAAAAACTTCTTTTCTCATATTTTTAACTGTCAATTGAACTGGCTAGAATTTCATAAAAATTACAGGGAGTATAATCAATCCACATTTTGACTTGCATAACATGACTTAATAAGTGATTGTGCAGAAAAATTTTTGTTGCTAACAACAAAAATCTCAAATTTAAGTTAATGGTTTCTCAGTTTTAATGTTAATGGGTGGGCAAGTTGTCCAACAAAAGCATGTAGACTTTAATTGACATCTCCATTAACTAAACATGTGTGTTTAAGTTGTGCATCAACTAATAATGAAATAATTATGTGATATTTCTTTGATTATATAATACAAGTATTTTATATACAAGGTGATAATGGAAAGTTATCATTCCAGTATATATGCATGTTTCCATATTCTTTTTTTTTTTTAATATACCTTATTTTTTCTTACCATTAGTGTAAAATAAAAACTTCATAGTTATTATGTCTTTTATTTAAATTTTTCTTCATAATTGTCTGCAAAATAATTTGCAAATTTTTTGCTACATGACATAAATCTCACAATAAAGGCTGAAGCATCCAGCAAAAAGACATACAGATAACAGCACAACAGGTAATCTTAATTTGAAGAATATAGTAATTATACAATATATGGTATAATGCTTAAATGTTTCATCTATGACTACTGTGAGTTATATTTTTAGATGAGATTTAGAAATATTCTTAAATATACAATAGCAATAGTTTCACTGGGGCGGAATACATGCTTTGTAATTACCAACATTTATTAAAAGAAAAATCTTAAATAGAAGAAAAAATTGTAAATAAATAATGTTAATATAATTGCTAAATTTCTATACAAATTAAAGAGACAGAAAAGTTTCATTTTAGACAATTTCTAATCGTTTCATTTCTTTGAGTAGTTCAACTCCCATTTTAGCTGGAGAGCGGGTTACAATTACATTCGCCTTTTCCAGTGCTTTAATTTTATCCATAGCCCCTCCTTTTCCACCAGAAATGATGGCACCAGCGTGACCCATACGTCTTCCAGGAGGGGCAGTGAGTCCCGCAATGAATGAGACCACTGGTTTCGCCTTTTGACCCTGTAATTTGAATTTATCACAGTTTTTTTAAACAAAATGCTAAACATTATCAGAATCATTCTGAATTTCTCTACCTTGTAGACCAAAATTAAAATACTTTAATTAGTTTACTTTTCTGAAAATAATTGATTTATTGATTAATTATAAATTGCATTACACACTATGGGCAATATCCAGACACCAAATTAGAATTTAACACTAAATTAGTTTTTTTGTCAAATGGACTATTAATGATGTCTAGGTGAACTTCAACTTCCCAAATAAACAGATTTAATATTAGTCCAGTGCTGAGTATGATTCAAGTCTACAATATGTAATGAAAAGTGACAATAGTAATCATGATAAATGTAAACTAATCATGACTAAGTGCATTGCCAAGAGAAACCACACTGAAATGATAATAATATTGTTATTGTATAACCTAGAGGGAGGCATCTTCTTTCTTTACCTTGCTCTGTTAAAGAAAAAAAAGATGAACTTATTAACAAAGGTAAAGATAAACTCATTTAAATACTGTTTTATGTCAAATAAAATGAATGTATTAAAAGACTTACAGTGTTATTTTGGATAAGATATTCAGATGCCAACTCCTCAGCGCTACCTCCAATTTCACCAATAAGGATAATACCCTTCGTTTGGGGATCGCGAAGGAATATCTCTAAGCAGTCAATGAAATCTGTCCCGTTGAAAGGGTCACCCCCGATGCCGACGCAAAGAGTTTGCCCAAGACCAGTCTGAAGAGTGAATGAGGTATGTGATTTTATTTAATTACTTATAATATTTTATGTGTTTATTTTTTTATATATATAAACCAGAGTATTAACCACAGATTATTAAGTTAAACCTATTACAGGGTGGCTTTTCTAAAGGTGCCCAAATTCACACAGCAGGTTCAGACTTAGTAGTACAATAAAAGTAATACAATAAAAATTAGATTGGGCTATGTTAACAAAAGCTGTGTAATATAGCTTTTGAAAAGTTTTTATACACCATCTCAAATTTCCAATATAACACAATTATTTAAACCCAAACGGCTTCTAATAGCAATCACTATCTAGTAGGGCCATGCAACAACTACTGCTGTTGCACGAATGGGCGGGCACGTCTGGGCAAGTATCACTCCCTCACAGAAGACCGGCGTGAAGTGAAAGTATTATTTTTTCGCGTTTCGTGTGGTGAGAGAGGTAACCAGTGACGACTTTATTAAAAGATGGCAATGCATCTGCAACCCTACAGATGTTGCAAATGTTCAGTGGCGGCGGTTATCTCGTAACATCATATCATCACCAAAGTCTATCTTTTTGGATAAAGTTTTAGCATTCAGTTTTAATATAGGAATATGACAAGCTTTTAGGAGAATATATAGTTTCATACTACATAGAGACCACAATAAGACTACCGTTTCCAAAAGATAAATCTTTAACTTTGTGTCGTAAACTAAAAGAAAATGAAGAGTCATATTGGTGATTGTTCTGTTTATTTTCTTCTCTTTGTAAATATTATCCTAACATGATGTAAGGATGTTTCACATACACATATTTACCATAGACAAACATCCAAAATTATTATCTATGGATCACAAAAATAGTTGTCTAGGCTGGGAATCGAACCCACTACACCTTGTGCCAAAGCCAATAACTTGGCAACCATGCTATAGAGTCATCTGCAATAACTATAAACCAACTGTGTTATGAAAGTCTAAAACTGAAATAAAATCTGGTGAACTGCCTACCTGTCACCTACTATGAAAGAAATGTGTCCCTTGTCATTAAAACTCTTATGAAAAAGCTACAAGGTCTTTTTTATATTGATCTTCCTTTCCTAATTGATAAAAGCAGTTACTTATACATTATTTATACATATTATTATCTAACTTTGCTGGTTGTAACTTGTAAATAATAAACAAATAAATGAAAACTTGGCTACTTTGCTACACAATATTATGTGGTTTTCATCATTACAGGAGAAAAAATTAAACCAACATAAAGAACTTACTATGGTGGTCTGGTGGACAGCTTCATAGGTAAGGGTACCCGAACGAGATACAACACCAATACATCCTGCTTTATGAACAGCACCAGGCATTATACCAATCTTACATTTTTCTGGAGCAATTATCCCTGGGCAATTCGGACCAACCAACCTTGACTTGTTTTGACGCAATAAAGCATGCTTGACACGAACCATATCCTAGAAATTAAATGAAGGATATTTTTTCTTCTAAAACTCAGATGCTTAAAACTATTTTATAGAGGTTTGTACCACATGTTTCCTGTAGAAACCATGGGGTAGGAAACAATACAAAGAATTAATTATGTTAATTGAAATTTATTCATTATTTCCTTTCATTTCTAGGTATTCTACAGAATTACACATATATTAATAGTATATATTTGTATGTTTTCAATCTAATTAATAACAAATATTAACAAAACTGATAATTAAATATGATTATCATAAAACATCAAACTGAGCTGCTCATGTCTTTTGCATAGTTAGTTCAACAAGATAAACATTTTTAGTGATTTCTGCTACAAATTTCAAGTATATTATATACTTGATTCTGTATTGAAATTTGTGTGAAAGGGGTTTAGTAGTAAGTACTAAGGATCACTGCAACATAGATAGAAAAATCTATTGTAGTCTTTCCTAGCAAACATTGCCCCATTTAGGTATAGATAACATTTTCCTGTATTGTAAGGATGTTTAATACATAAATTTCACATGGACAAAAACCCAGATCCAAAACAATAAAAAAAACAAATTTATCTGTTGGTCACACTTGGCACTGCAACTGGCAACTGCACCACGGACTCGTCAAATATACATGACATAAATGTAAGACAGTATTTAGGATATTTACATGTTGAGGTACTCCTTCTGTGATGCAGACTATGAGTGGGACTTCTGCTTCTATTGCTTCAAGAATGGCACCGGCAGCTGCAGGTGGTGGAACATAGATAACCGATGCATCGGCACCAGTTTTCTCCTTGGCTTCCCTTACAGTGGCAAATACAGGCTTTCCAAGGTGATCAGTTCCTGCTTTTTTTGGAGACACACCTCCAACTATTTTTGTTCCATAATCCAATGCCTGTTGACTGTGGAAAGTACCTTGCTTTCCAGTAAAACCTTGGACTATTACTTTGGTGTCACTGGTTAGGACCAGATTTTTTCTTGTTTGTTCATATGGCTTGCCAGCAGTACCACATGAGGTATATCTGACATTGGTAAGCTTCAGCCCATCTAGTATGAAATGATACTGTTAAAACTTTCACTTCATTAAAGCTAATGAAATATTTAGCTTGTTCCTTAGAAGATATTCCCACACAAAGGTCTTTATGAATATTTCAAAGACCCTCCAACAGAACTCGATATTTTATAGTAATTAAGATAAAATAATTTTTTTTAGAATTTCATAAACATTGTCCATTAAAGCATTTTCTTAGAGCTTAATCCATTAAAATGTATGAAAAAAGATTGAAACTAGTGCAGTGTACTGTAACTGTTCTTGGTAAAATTTTACATCTTATCATATTGTGTATGATAGGATGTAAATGTCTTGAGAGCATAATTTATCAGTACCCAAATATAAACAATGAATTGCATTTAACTATGTTCTTTTAGAAATAAAATAACAAGTTTGTCAATGAATGTTTTTTTTTTCTTACAAGTTTATATTAGTTATTTGAAAATGCACTACCAATTTAAAAAAAAATTGACAGCTTGATTACCTTAAATATATCTTATCAGTTTTAACAATTATTTTGTTATTGAGAAATATAAAACAGTAATGATAAAACTAGTATTGTTTGTAGTTAGAAAAGTTCAGCGATTTTCGTTTTCATCAGTTCAATTTATTAATTTTATTATTAGCTAAATATTAATTACAAATGGAATTAGTTAAATAATATATTTCAATGTATTTTTAGATGAAGGTCTTAGTGTAAGTAGTTGATAATGACTTTGATGTTGTACATAATTTAAACATGGTATAGTAATTACTGGATAATTCATAAATAGGATGGAAGAGATCAAAGTTTGATTACGAACGAAGGAAAAGTCAATGACAGTCATTAGAAGGTTAATATCAGGGTTAGGCAAAAATAGCAAATAATTGAAAAAAAATATACTATATATTTTTGATTCTAGGGAGAGAAATAAAGGATAGCAAACAATCGTAAACTTACCTTTTAACCAAGGCAGAATTCGACCTGAGACAGCCATCGTATAACTATATCCAAAATGTTAAAGGATATGAATTTTGTGACACTGACAACCTGCCACCCATTACGTAATGACAGACATTAAAAAAAAGGGCGATAACATACTAAGGCACCATAGACATATTTTTTTTTTGCTTTAACTCTTGAATTTAAATTTAACATTTTGAACTTATTTTAGATCAAACGTAATGATTTTGATAAACAATTGATTTAACTACGATGGTTATGATGACGCCGTCCAATTCGATTAAAACAAACAATTTAACACGTTCGAAAGACGTCTTAGATGGACTTTCAAAGACAGGTTGAAATCGCGATTAAATCTATATAACGTAGAACGATCGGTTGCGAAAAATAAATTTATGAGAATTTCTCTTTCACGACGAAAACTAAATAATGACAACATACATTCATCGCTGATAAGTAAGGTTCATTTGAAAAAAATGTATTAGAAAATGGATTGGGTCTTTAGCTAGATTTAATCTTGTAAATATTAGATAAATAAATAAAAAATATTACCTTCACTGTCTGACATTTTTTTGAAAACTTCACTGTCAAAATAAAAAAGTAACATATAAGCGCGCCACGTATGATACAACATAATATTTTGCTGTTTATCACATAAAAATAGAAGTACATTTTCTTTGAACATATTAAAGAAATTACAAGTGTTGTTTAAAATGTGTGGGTCAGATAAAAAGTTAGGCGAAATCCGAGCACTTATACTCGTCGGTGGTTATGGGACTCGTTTAAGACCCTTAACTTTGAGTAGGCCTAAGCCACTTGTGGAGTTTGCCAACAAACCGATCCTCTTGCATCAAATAGAAGCTCTAGTTGAAGCTGGAGTAACACAAGTAAACCTAAGTGTATTTTAAAATTAATAGGGATAGCAATTTTTTTTAACATTTATGTTTTTCGTAAGTTTTTTCGTTGGGTTGTAAAATATTGTTCTGATGTTTATTTTTAAATTTGAATCACTAACGTGCTAGATACGTTTCAGGGTAATAATGCGCAAGTCTATTTAGACTAATAATTCTTTTTTCTTAATATGTGATCTATAAAACATAGTCCATTGAACATAAAATACTTACAATATTGAATACAAATTAATTTACTTATCTAACAAACATAGCCCACATGGTAGGGTGCAAAGAATGCTAGCTGCATTTCTAGGATATTAATCTTTTAAAAAATTTGATGTACAGGGCACCCCATGGATTGAAAGTTTCATCAGCAATTGACACAATTACAAAATTTGAACAATGAGACTCATTTCATCTATTATTATATATTATTTTAAATATTTACTTAACTCTGAGAGTGGTTGTAAATTTACTTTTAATTTTGAGTTAATTTATATAATATGATGACTCCTTGGCGCATTTGCCAAGGTATTGGCTTCGGCGTCTTTGGGTTGTTTGTTTGATTCCCACACAGGTCAAGTATTTGCGCGACCACATATAGTTGTTTCGCATCTGGGTGTTTGTTAAAAAAAAGCATTATTAACCTGACCGGAAACATATTTTATTAATGATCATTGACATTTTATTTAGTATAAATTTGTATTTAAAGTAAATAAAATATCCATTTTAATGTAATGATAGTATATCTTCTTAAGATTTAAGGTGAACTTGCATTACTAATTAGTTTCAAAACACTTTCAGGTTATTTTAGCTGTTTCATATAGAGCGGATGATATGGAAAAAGAATTGACAGAGCAAGTATCAAAACTTGGTGTGTCTCTTACATTCTCACATGAAACTGAACCTTTGGGAACGGCAGGTCCACTAGCTTTAGCCAAAGATTTGCTTAATACAAGCACTGAACCCTTTTTCGTCTTAAATTCAGATGTTATATGTGACTTTCCCTTTAAGGAGCTTGCTAAATATCATAAAAGTCATGGAAAGGTAAAATGTTTTCATAGTGAACATTTAATTTGAATTATAACAATATAGGTATGTGTTTGTAATGTTTTTAAAATTAAATGTTTTGGTTATATATATTAAAGTTTTAGTATGAAGGTATCTTTTGACTGGCAAATTTGTAAAATAGATGCCAATCGTAACTGGCAACCACAGGACAGGCTTTGCCTAGTGTGGTCCAACGCTTAATGTGCTAAATGTAATTCTGTTTGTCAATAAACTTATTTTCATTTTCAATTATCATCTGCCCAATCAGTCTTGTATCAGTATCAGTATCAGTATGGCTTGCCAATTGATATGTTGTATAATAATAGGGATACGGAAAACTCATTTGATATACCTTTTTGAGTATTTAGAAACAACAATGATTAATGGGATCATGACACATTGTGTCATACCTGATCTTCCTGTATTTAAAATTAATCTTCTAATTTATATGTTTCAATGCTTGGTGTTATTATTAACTATTTTTAGGAAGGCACTATTGTGGTTACGAAGGTAGAAGAGCCCAGTAAATATGGTGTTGTTGTTTATAAAGATGATGGACAAATAGAGAGTTTTGTTGAAAAACCTCAAGAATTTATTTCAAACAAAATTAATGCTGGTAAGTTTAGGATTAGGTTTTAAATCTTATCTCATATGCCTAATACAGCATTATTGCAGTTTGAAAACTAGGTGGCGCAGTTGTTAAGCAGTTGCTTTATAGCTACTATCAGTGGGTTTGATTCTCACACAGGACAAGTATTTCTGTGACTCACAGATAATTTTATCAGGTCAAAATGGTTGTTCCAAAGAGAGCTTAAGCTAGAGCAGGTGACTGGTCATAAAAAAAATACTCCTAGCCACCAAATAATGATATACAACAATGTCTATCCTACCTGGTTGAAGATAATGGAAGGAAGATGGGCCAGGTCTATTATGGAGCTTTCAGATTGGAGTCTTAAGTATTAGTTTTTATTGTTGCGATTTTTCACAAAGAATGTTGTTCCTAATTGTTTGGAAGCGAGGATTAATATTAAGTATAGTTCTTTCTTCTACTTCTGCTGTATGAATAGACTGCCTTCGAACATGGATTCTCACAATTTCGTATTTCCAAGAATGAGTTGTAAGCTTTACGGTGGTAGGGCCACGCAACAGCCTCGGCTGTTGCACGGATGGGCAGGCTCGTCCGGGTAAGTACCACGACCTCACAGAAGACCGGCGCAAAGTGGAGGTCTAGTACTTTCGCGTTTCGTCTGGTGAGTGAGGTAGCCGGAGCCCAATTTCCAAAAAGGTTGTCAACGCATCTGCAAACCCTCGGGTGTAGCAGATGTCCATGGGTGGTGGTATTCACTTAACATCAGGTGAACCATCTGCTCGTTTGGCAGCTTTTCACATAAAAAAAAAAGAATTCCAAGAATGAGTCCGCTGTTGCAAAAATGGGTGTGTCCGTCCGGGTTAATGCCACAACCTCACAGAAGACCGGCGTGAATTAGAAGTATTAAACTTCTGCGTTTCGTCTGGAGAGTGAGGTAGCCGGGGCCCACTATATTAAAAGGTGGCAACGCATTTGCAACCGTACGAGTGTTGCAAATGTCCATTGGCGGCAGTTATCATTTAACGTCAGGTGAACCGCCAGATCGTTTGCCACTTGGTCACATAAAAAAAAATTGCCCAACACAACATATTAAAGGCTGGTAATACTCCAATAATTTTAGTTTTGTCAATGTCCATGGACATTAATTGTGATTTCTTACCCATCAAGTTATAAGTATTCAAGTTACAAGCAGTTGCTTATTGGCCATACTCTAAGTTTTATCTTTACCAAAAGTAAAATTGAAGTGTCTGTCTGTCAGTTCCAAATAAATCTCAAACTGTTATTATCACTGTGGTAGGGCCACGCAGCAGCCTCGGCAGTTGCACGAATGGGCAGGCTCGTCCGGGTAAGTACCACGACCTCACAGAAGACCGGCGTAAAATGGAAGTATAACAACACTCGCGTTTCGTCTGGTGAGTGAGAAAGTGAGTGAGAAAGCCGGAGCCCAATCTTCAAAAGGTTGTCAACACATCTGCAACCCTCGGGTGTGGCAGATCTCCATGGGTGGCGATATTCACTTAACATCAGGTGAAGCGCCTGCTCGCTTGGCGACTTTCACATAAAAAAACATCACCTAATATTATAAACGATAGTTATAAAGTTTAAAAGATTTTTTTTTTTATTTTAACCGTAAGGAAATCCTTTCTTAGGTATGTACGTACTTAATCCATCGGTGTTAAGTCGGATAGATCTAAGGCCAATGTCAATAGAAAAGGAAGTGTTTCCATTTATGGCGCAGGACGGCCAATTATATGCCATGGAGCTACAAGGATTCTGGATGGACGTTGGACAGCCCAAAGACTTTTTGACAGGTAAAACATTTCATTTCACTTGGATGTGTCTTGAAAATTAAACTGTAAATATTAGCAGAAGATCTAGTTGGAGGAATTAACAGATATTAATTGACAAAAAAATATCCTAGGTCCGGGTCCAAATGTTAAATATATTCCATAAGAAAACTGAAAAGTCGATCCATGCCACTGAGATTTGAATCCTCTAAATATTTAAAGTCCGACACTTTAGCCACTAAATCATCTAACTATTCTATTACAATGTACATATCTAAGCAGTTGATTTATACAGCGTGTCGTTACCATCGCGACAATAAATGAACACACGTCTAACGCTACTTGCCAATTATCATAAAAAATAATAACGTTAAACAAAATCCATAATTAAAAAAAAATATTTCTCAAACAAACTAATGGAGTATGCTTTGTGACCTTTACAAATGAACTTTACGTTACAGTTTTATAAGTAAGGGTGTTCTAAAATTGTTTGTTTTGTAAAATTTAATAACTCGGTAAATATTGATGTTTGAAGAATGTAAATGTTTAATAAAATTTAAAAAAGTTATCCTCTATATGTATGTTCATTTATTGTCGCGGTGGTAACGACACGCTATATAAAACCATAAATTGTTATCTCGGGTCAGGGCTATCTCGAATGAGTTGTATGATCCGTTTATACCTGAACTTTGTTTTTTAATTTTCTTTATCGTCACAGGTATGTGTTTATACCTGAACAGCTTGCGGCAGAAGAACTCCGACAAGTTGCACGACGGAGCAGGCGTGGTGGGAAACGTTCTGATAGACCCGACCGCCACCATAGGAAACGGGTGCCGTATAGGACCCAACGTCACCATTGGCCCCAATGTGATCATTGAAGACGGTAAGTTATTGGAATCTCCCGTAAATGTTGCCTCTATTCTATTTCTGTTTTGCTATCGGCCATGTTTATATTTATATAGCTCGTAGAATCGACAGGGAAGAAAGGTTTTTGAGTTGCACACACCCCTTGTACTGGACATCGCAGTGTGGGACGACCCTCCACTAAATGGAGTGACAACCTGTGCAAATGTGCAGGAAATCGATGGATGCAGGTGGCTCAGGATCGTGCTTCGTGCAGTCTATGGCTATGTTCAGCAGTGGACTCAAACAGGCTAAAATTATGATGATGAAAAAAAAAACATTAACGGACCTCCGAAATAATTATCAGTCAGTCACATCAATGGGTGTCAAATTACATTTATGTTTGCCCCGTGTGAGACACGAACCCACGACCCCTGGCGTCAAAGCCAATATATTGGCATGTGCCACAGATGCATCCGACCCCGTGGCACAGTTGTATTGCGCAACTCCCGCAGGTCAATACAGTATTGAGCTGTCAAAGCGTTTTGCATACACAAATTGGCGAGAAAAAGGATTCGGAATAATTATTCATTGTTCTATAAATATCTGGCTCTTAAGGGAATGGAACTCACAGATCGCCCTTACGCACAGCGCGGCTACTACGTCAAACGCACGCATTCGTATCGAAATCCCAAATAAAAGTCAAAAGTTGCTTATCCGAACTTCACTACGAAATAAGTGAAAAATGAAATAATCCCCTAAAAATTAACACTTAAACCCAATTACACTTATCTATGATTAAATTTATATATTAAAATATGATATTCATTAATTCTAATTGAAGTCTAAAAAAAATTGAAGACACCAGGCCATCCGAGCTAAATATATAGTGGCGATTTCACATAAACTAAATATGGTGTTTTTAATTTTATTGAATAAAAAGTATATAAAAGTCAACTAATTATCGTTATTCTGTTTTTTACACGTAAAATACTTGTGGAGGAAAATTATTCACGAGCAATTTTATCGTATCGCTTTTTATCGCCTTCGAGGAAATAAAAAATCAACCGTGTCATTCACTTTATCATTCACAATCTGGCGATGTATCGTTGTCATAATGGATATTTGAAACGAAAATTTAGTTATCTTTTCCCCTTGCCACGATCAACACTATAAACACGTAAGAAATCTTCTACTGTTATATATCTTGTTTCAAATTTGTGATGCATCATATCGAGAGGCGAAAGAAATTAAGTACGCCGTACCACACACAATGATTTATATAGTAGTATCTTCTTGGCACTTCACAGAGTAAATCCTGGTCATAAAGGTTCGGTAACACGCTCAATTTCATTGTCCGGACGTTAGCTTTTTATTCAATACTAGCTGCTGCCCGCGACTACGTCTGCGTAGAATAGGCTGAAGGTGTAACATTAAGCAGAAAGATAGATATACATAAAATATGTATATAAATTATAGTCTATGTCTTATTCTGATGTATAAGCTATATTATTGTAAAGTTTCATTAAAATCCATTCAGTAGTATTTGCGTGAAAGACTAACAAACATCCATCCATACATACAAACTTTCGCCTTTATAATATTAGTAAGGATACTTTAGCAACCTGCGTTCAACAACATTAACATATTGTTATTATTGATAAACAAAAAAATTATAAATCGAAATATACTACTGTAAATTTAATTTTTTATAGTGCTAATCTCTGCACGTAAGATTAAACATTAAAATATCGTAGAAAAAAGTACGAAAAGTTTTTCGCCGCTGTGGGAATCGAACGCAGGTCTTCGGAATTCGCGCCCTGACACTTGTCGTCTGTCAGTCTGTCGGTCCGTCCGTACAGTTGAAATTTTCACAGATGATGTATTTCCGTTACCGCTATAACAACAAATAGTAAAAAAAGGAATAAAGCAATATTTAAGTGGGGCTCCTATACAACAGACATGATTTTTTTTTGTCGTTTTTATAAATAAGGGTACGGAACAAAGCGCGAGTATGACTCGCACGTGGCCTTTTTAACTTATTTTAATTGTAAGGACGACTAGGTAGGGCCAGGCAACCTCACCGCTGAGCACGTTACTCGGCACTTTTAAATCGCGTGAAAAGACCACTGTTAAAAACAATACTTAACAGATAACGAAATGATGGAAGTCGATAAAATCTTTTTATAACTTATATGAGTTAGTTATGTTTATTAGACAATAATATATTGAGCCGTGATAGCTCAGTGTCCGGGCGCTCGCCTTTAATTCAATATACTCGAGCAACCTGAGTTCGATCCCCGGTGCCGGCACCAATGAAGTTTTTAACTTTAAGTGCTGACTTATCACGTGCTCCGCGGTGAAGGAAAACATCGTGAGGAAACCTGCGTATTTTCGAAATAATAACAAAATAAAAATATTTCGAAGATATGTGAAGTCCGCCAATCCGCAGTGGGGCCGCGTGGTGGACTATGCCCTGATACCCTCTGTATAGAGGAGGCCTTTGCCCAACAATGGGACATGTATAGGCTGTTACTTTACTTTTTTTTTACTTTAATATATTATTTTCACACTTTATGTGATATTGTTCTGTATGGAGCAAAAATGTTCGGTATTAAAAGTTATCAGTATCTCAACAACTTCCACGTATTTCTCAACTTCCACGTCGTATATTTGCAATGAAATTTGAATCACTCTTATTATCATTTGTTAACTGCTTCATCAGCTTATAGTACCCGGAGGACCGAGGCTTTGCTCGGTTTGTTTTTTTTTTTTTGGTAAATCGTGTGTTTTGGAAATTACATACAAATTACTGAGTAATGAAATATGCGTAATATTTTTCGATCTTACCGACCTAATAATAAGAAAATATGAAGTGGCGTTTTTCACAATAGAAACAACTTTAAAAAAAAAGGGAAAAAAGTAACAAAATAACAAATCGACAAAAAAATTAAAAATAAAGAAAGCAATGATCTGGAATCGAAAAAAAGTAAAAAAAAGAGTGTGTAAATGATCGTGATACGAACCACGGCCGTCTGTTTTGGGGCCGCCCGATTACCGACCGAGCTATTATGACATTTTCTTTTGCAGCGAAATTTACCGTCATATTCGAATGATATTTTTCATTCCCTGAAAACAGGGATAAAAGGACATTTTCTAAAAATGAAACCTAGCTAGATCGATTTTTCGCCCCTGAATCTACGCACATACTAAATTTCATGAAAATCGCTGGAGCGATTTCCGAGATTCCGATTATATATATATACAGCGTGTCGTTACCATCGCGACAATAATTGATTCATTATAGATTCAGTGTAGTTGTTTAAAGTATTGTGTTTAAAACTTTATTTTATATGTAAATTATACATTTCTTGAAAACTCACCGCCTGCCAGCTATTACCTGTACATCGCAATATTTTGCCTACACTAATTTTTCACCAAAATGTCCAATTTGTCGGAGATCATATCCACTCAAAATAGACTTGAGGAGAACATAACCAAGCGATTTGATGATTTGCAAGCCCAAATTTCAAACGCCGGGTCGTCGAAAGACACTGTTGCAAAAATTGCAGAACAACTCCGGTCCTTCAGGGAGATAGTTTCCGGTATTCTCGGTCTTCTTCGGCAACAGATCAAAGAATGCGTACGGCAGGTAGATGAAATTGACACCAGATCGCGGAGGAAAGCTCTTATCATATCCGGAATGCCAGAGAAAGACAACGAAGACTGCACTCAACAGGTTCTTGAAGTGTTTAATAACAATCTTGGTCTCAGTGACATTTCCAAGTCGTATATAAAATCGTGTCACAGACTAGGTACAAAAGAACTCTAAGTAAAGAACGTCACCGACCTGTCTTAATACGGTTTACAAGCGTGGACACTAAATTAGTGGTCTGGAAGAATAAGACTAAATTAAAGGGTTCTTCACTCTCTCTCAAGGAGTTCCTGACAAAAACCAGGCAAGCCGTTTTCAGCAGAGCGCGTCTTCACTTTCGTATGCGGTATGTTTGGTCCCAGAGTGGTGTTATAGTGGTCAGGACATCAGACGCCACAATCCATAAACTCACTCCTGAGGAGGAGCTGGTTGTCCTTACCACAAAATATCCAAAGGCGTCCGGGAAGCCGTCGAAGTAACAGTGCGTGACATGAAATCTTTAACCAAAACAATAAACGATTGAACTCATTTTTACAACTTTGCTACATTATTTATACATTGAAAAACAAAATAGTAATGTAATAATAATAGTAACGCCTTTCGTATTACTTTTTTATAATATTATATTACAAAAAATTTATTGTACTTAACTTTTGGAAACAAACAATCATCCGCCATATATATATACGTCATTGTTGTTAATTTTTATTTTTTACTGTCTCTTGTTTTGTGTTATGTTTGCTATGTTACTTTTCATTTTGTTTTAGTCTAGATTCATATTAACTTTCAAAATTTGTTTTGTTTCGAGACGTTTTAAAGGATAAATATTTTGTTTGGTTATGACAGCTCTTTGTTTACAATTATTCTTGTTACCGATTGATTGATCGACGTTTCGCAATAGCTATGGCTGGATAGATTAAAAATGAGCGTTCCGTTTCAATATTGTTACTGATTATTGTTTAACGATCTTGTAGTTTAAAAAATAAGTTATAGTTTTTTTTTTCCTTTTCCTTTTTAATCATTTGAGCACTGTAAAGACTTTGTTTTTTTTTTGTTGTTAATCTTTTTTTTACTGTTATTGTTTTATTTTAATAGGATTGGTTATGCTGGCGGGTGGTGCTGAGATTATACTTAGCATCACTAATTTTATTGCGCTTTTAATTTTGTTTTTATTTCCATTTATATATATACATATATATATTTCAAATAATTATATATTATATATTTTTATCCATGTCTATAATATCTGATGATGATAGTTATTTTTCTGCAAATGAAACTGCCGAATCCATAGCTGATGATAGCTTCAGCTCGGTATGCGGATCACTTGGTGATTTTTTAGGTGCAAAATTCTCAGAAAGTCCGTGTTACCTATTCAATATTTGCCATATAAACGCGCAAAGTGTTCCAAGCCACTTCGATGACTTCTACGATACATTCTCCAAATGTAATGTGCACGCCATTCTGATTTCTGAGAGTTGGCTCAAACCTCATCTTTCATCCTCCATGTATTCCCTTCCTGGCTTTATTTTAATCCGTAATGACCGAATAGGTAAGAGAGGAGGAGGAGTCGCCATATATCTGAGAAGCGATCTTCCTTATACAGTGCTGGCCTCCTCCCCTCAGAATTCAACTACTGCCGAATTCCTTTTCCTTGAGGTCACGGTTAAATGTGCCAAGATAATAATTGCCGTTATATATTGCCCCCCATGTGTTGACTGTTGACTATTTCACCGATTTTGAATTGGTCCTAGAATCTTTGGGTTTGGAGTATGTTCACCACGTTATTATGGGTGATTTTAACACCAATCTCCTAGATCCCAATTCCCCACGATCCCGTAAATTCCTACACATAGTTAGCTCTCCAAAAGTGTTCTAACCCTACTCTCCCTACCCACTATCGTCCTATTTCTATTCTGCCCTTCCTCTCCAAAGTAATTGAGTCCTGTGTCCATAAACAACTATCCTGTTTTGTTTTTAGAAACAACTTGTTAAGTCCTTTCCAATCCGGATTTAGACCTGGTCATAGTACCACCACCGCTCTCCTTAAAGTGACTGGCGATATTAGGGCGGGCATGGAGGGATCAAAGGTTACCGTCATGGTTCTTATTGATTTTTCTAACGCCTTCAATACCGTCAGTCACGATATCCTGTTAGCCATCCTCTCCCATATAATGGTTTCTGACGAAGCACTGGAATGGTTTTCCTCCTATCTTCGAGGGCGCCAGCAGGCAGTCAATAATGGTGATTCCTCATCACGTTGCCTTAGTCTGATTAATGGTGTTCCTCAAGGCGGTATTCTATCCCCTCTGTTATTCTCCGTTTTTATAAACTTTATCACTCATAATCTTCGCTGTGCGTATCATCTTTATGCCGATGACCTGCAGCTGTATGCTCAGGCATCAATCGATACTCTTAATAAGCTCAATGAAGATTTAGTCGCCATTAAGACCTGGTCAGATAAGTTAGGACTGACTGTAAATCCGACCAAATGTCAAGCCATAATAGTTGGGAGTTCCCGTACTGTTAGTAGAGTAAATTTAGTTAGCCTTCCACCGATTATTTTTGACAGCTCACTACAAAATAAGGTTAATAATTTAGGTTTGCTTATTGACGGGACGTTTTGTTGGAGAGATCAAATAGCTAGTGTCAGCCAAAAAGTCACTAATGTCTTGCGCTGTCTTTACCGTCTCAAGAATTTCCTGCCGTTGAAAACCAAAGTAACGCTCGTACAGTCCTTAATTTTTCCTTTAATCGACTATGGTGACGTGTGCTACTTCGACCTGAATGCAGATCATCTCAATAAACTCGACCGACTTCTGAATAACTGCATTCGATTTTTTTTCAATCTCCGCAAATATGACCATGTATCGTCTTATCGTTCACAGCTAAACTGGCTAACCATACGACAACGACGCTCTTTAAGAGCCTTGACCACACTTTTTTCTTACCTTGATTCCCCATTTACTCCTTCTTATTTAGCTCCCCACTTCCAATACCTTAGTTCAGTCAACACCAAAAATCTTCGCTCTAAACACAATCGCCTTCTGTTCTGTCCTCCTCATCAGTCTGATTTTATCCATTCCTCTTTCTTTGTTCAATCTATCCTTCTTTGGAATGAGCTTCCTCCCAAAATCAGAATGGCTAAGAATCGCCTTGCTTTTAAGAGAATGGCACGGAAATACATTTTGGGAAAGCTGCTAGCAGTTTCATGATATCATCAGATAAAAATATGTATGCGTATTTGTGTATATATTTATGTATATGTATATATTTATAGTACAGTATATATATATTTATATATGTAAACTTTTATTTAATTGTATTGTATTATGTATATATTTATGTGTAATTAGTAAAATATTTATATTTTAAATGTTTGTGCACCTACCTCAAAATCTCGGTACCACCCTAAGGTTGACTGGTAGAAAATGCTGACAGCATTAAGTCCGCCTATGTACAGAGTTATGTGCATGAAGTCTTAAAATAAAATAAAATAAAATAAATGAACACACGTCTAACGCTACGTGCCAATAATCATAAAAAAATATTAACTTTAAACAAAATCCATAATTAAAAAAAAAATATTTTTCAAACAAACTAATTAAGTAAAAAAGAAACAAAATTTGTAACATCCTATACAACTCGCGCCACAGCGTCGTATTACAAGCCTCTCCTTCTAACAGTATGTTTTGTCTCTTTTAAATTCATTCAACCCATTCATATGCTTTGTGACCATTACAAATGAACTTTACGTTACGCTTTTATAGGTAAAGGTGTTCTAAATTTTTTTGTTTTGGAAAATTTAATAACTCGGTAAATATAGATGTTTAAAGAATTTAAATGTTTAATACAACTTTAAAAAGTTATCCCCTATATGTGTGTTCATTTATTGTCGCGATGGTAACGACACGCTGTATACAAGAATTGCTCGTTTAAAGGATAAGATATATTTTTGGCAGTTAGTTTCAATTTACGAGATCGTAAATACTATTACTAAAATATTTTCTTTTCTCCTTTCCACAAATCTGCTAGCTATGATACGAACATACCCTTTACTAAGCTTCTGCTGTTGTGTTGAAGATCAAAGTAAAGTGAGGCAAGAAAATTAACAAAAATCACACTTAATTTTTGCATTGTTGGAGAACTATTAATGCCGTTCATTAAATACTGTTTAGTAAAAATAAGGACAAGGTAATATGATGGATGGTGACAGTTTACGTCAAATAAGGAATTGACTAAGACTAAGGAGTCTTGCTGGTTTTCTTTATTAATATAGTTTAGTGAACCAGTGGTAGTTTTTGACGTTCAATAAGAACTCAAAATAAGTGTATATCGAATAAAGGACTTTGACTTTGAAATGTAATCGAGATAAGCTTTGGCAATACTACAACAACTTTAAGTGTTGTGAATGTCCGTAGGTATCACATGAACTATGTACATTTTTTGCTATTTAATATCCTAAAAACAAATTCTAATTTCAGGTGCGTGCATCAAACGCAGTACCATATTGCGGGGCGCATGTGTGCGGCAGCACGCTTGGTTGGACGGCTGCATAGTCGGCTGGCGTTCGGTTGTGGGCAGGTGGGTTCGGATGGAGAACTGCACTGTACTCGGTGAGGATGTCATAGTCAAGGATGAGCTGTACATCAACGGTGGTCAAGTGCTACCGCACAAGTCCATAGCGCTGTCTGTCCCCGAACCACAGATAATAATGTGAACACCTTGCAAGACTGATAAAGAATTGCACAGTTTGATAATTTACGCACGTCAATGATTGATTTAATGATTGTTGGGCAATGCAAAGTTAATGAATAAGTGTTTCTTAAAATTTTTGTTAAAAAAATACAATTTTATAATTTTTTTTCAAGTGTACTTGTAATTTGTAAGTACAGTTATCCCATTAATTCTTATAACGCATCTATAAAACATAGATAAAAATAATTGTATTGTTATGTTTCTATATCACAAAATATTTGTAAAATAGTATGTAACATTGTTTTGTAATCCTAGTCAATGGCCAACATATTTAATGAATGCCCTCAATATGACTTTAGTTATCTAATTACATAATAAATTCAATATTTTAATTCTATATCTTTTATCTTCAATTGCATAAGGAAAGAATTTATTTTAAAAATAAGAACTTTATTTTGAGGTGATAATTTTATCAATTATTTAAATTACAAATTATAATAAGAGAATTATAAAGTAATTGCCATAAAATACATGTATTTTAGGGAATTGATGTTAATTGTAGTCAATTTTCACTTTCTACTAATGAATTTAATCACAGGTGTATTTCTTTTGGTGGTATATTATATTTAGAGATAAATGAACACCTGGATTCTAAGTCCCAGTGACATGATATATTAAAAAACTACAAGATTCATTGGTTACTTATAAACTTGATTTTATTTATTATTCATAAATTGTCTAATTAGTTTTTAAATATAAAGTGCTACTGTATTCTACAAAAAAACCACTGGTTGACATTATAATTGTTGCAGATTTATTTAATCATAATACAATATTTTTGTTCATTTATTTTTGTAATTGTAAATGACACCTCTGCCACTGCTGATTTGAAATGTCTATAGCAAAAAATATACTGAACTAGTGACCAAAGGCAAAACATACATTCCACATCTATAAAATAATTACCATAGGTATTTTTGCGATCCTATATATTAATAGACTTATTTGTTAAATGTGTATTAAAACTGGGCATTTTCTACTATAGGTTAATAATTTGATGTACCAATAAATGTTAAGTAGTATTTAGCAATCCTTTCAATATGTTTTACTTATATAAGTGAAACATATATGTGGCTAATGTTAAATGAATGAAGCCTATAGTGGGATGTGTTCTTTTGTGTATACAAGTTTTTACTGTAGTTTTTTGTATGGGCAATAAATAATAAATTTGAAAATAGGATGTTTTAATAACAATTTCGTTTCTGACTGTCTAAACTATTTGATATTATTGACATACTTTAGCTCCTCTCCCACTCTCAGCTGATAAAGCAAGGGAATAGGTTCCTGATATTGATGACAAAATGGCCAATTGCCTGGACCTTCTGCAGTCTACTGAACCGGACAAGTAGTGTAAGGGTTTTTTCACTTACAAAAAGGCTTTACAGAACGTACGTATTGGCGCTAAGCTGCCACACCATCTGGAAGTATTCTGGTCTCTAGCTAATCCAGCTACTACCAGTTTTCTCTGCCTCAACTGGAAAACCAGGTGGTTCATTGGCACATGAGAACGGCAAGAATCTGGTAATACCACTCCATCATTTATACCTCATGTCTGAGATGTACAATATACGTAGAGAAGTTTTAAAAAACTTAAAAGGTGTGGAACTGAATAAAGCCATATGATGGGATGGTTTATCAGTCAAGGCTTGTGCACCTTAGTTGTCTCCTGTGCGGCCTCCTTCAAGATTAGTATTTTTTTAGTAAGTGATTATCGCCGCCCATGGTGAACTACAACAGTTAAGAGATTGAAATTGGGCTGACAACCTTTGAAAATTTTGAGCTCTCTTCTTGGAGGTGACGTAACCAGCGCGTGTTGCGTAAGTCTGCTTTCGATCGAAATCACGGGTGATTGAATTTTTCTCTCGCAATTTTCACCTGAAGTCCTCCAACAGTTTGAAGTGGCAATCTCCGACGACTATTTGGATGTATGACATGAGATCGGAGATCGCCTTGACGGCGGTCTCGAGAGACTTGTAAGTGTGCGGGAAGCTCGCGGATTCGAATCCCTGACCTAACTTTTACCTGTCAGTCACGATCACTAACTCGACCACTTAGAACTTAATTTAGTAATTATTTCCAAGTTGTAAGTAATTGTGTAATTGTAATGGCAAATGTGCGGAAAGTCTATGGATGCAGGTGGATCAGGACCGTGCTTGGTGGCAGTCTGTGGGGGAGGTTCAGCAGTGGATTCAAACAGGCTGAAATGATAATGATGAAAAGAACCTAAATAATATAATGCTACTGCTTCGACCCAGTCGTCGATTTTATCCGCTATCTTTGTTTTATTAATTCCCTAATGTTAATAATACAAGTGTAGGAGCTGAAAAATTTTGTTCGAGTGTTTAACAAATCTTGCCGAAAATATTTTAGTAAACATTTGCATACGTGTCTGGGACGGGCTTAACGTGCAATATCAATACTCTACTACAATTTTTGAATCCCTGTCGTCAGTCCCGCGTCAATGGCTCAAAGTCGTATAATACAAAAATATCCCAAAAAAAACTTCTGACATTAAATGTTACATACATTATTTTTAAACATAAAAATTAAAAATTGTCTTACGAATCTAATGCCAATTGGTATTGGTAGACACAAATAATGCTAAAAAATACCTTTTTAAAAATACTGGATCGTATCATTCCTCTATTTACAAATGTACTCTGTGGTATCTTTCAACTTGACATTTCTTAGTCGTCAACTTGGTTGATATGATTTGACGTTGTGACATTTGAATTTTCATAATTTGCGATTTTGCGCCAAAACTATCAACTTTCAATTTTCAATTCAAGTCAATATCAATATTCGGTATCGCAGATCACTGTAAGGTTTTGTTATAAATTTAAATATGTCTAAACGTAAAAGTGTTGGAAATACTTTATTTAATTATTTTACTAAGACTCCTCCTAGTAATAAGAAATTAAAAACAAATACTGATGAATCAAACGTAGAACCTAAACGAACAATTGTTGAAAACGAAACCGAAATCAAAATTGAACGTTAGTACAATTTAGCAGAATGTTATAAACTCATCTACTGAATGTTTTAACAATATACACTGAATGTTATAATAATATCACTTTTCAGACAATAAGCGTGAAAGGCAACCAACACCCTCTCCTGAGTTAAATAAAACCTGTGAAGACAGTGACGACGGTACCCCTATATTCTCTAAAAAAAGTAAGAGGATACGCCTCAATCCCGTAGATTCTGATGACTCCGATGTGGAGAATAGAGGTGAGGTTGGCAGATTATATTCCATATTTAAGACTTATAACATCATGAATTCTCGTATTTTTTTATTGAAAGATCATTATAATATACAGCGTGTTGTTACCATCGCGACAATAAAAGAACACACGTCTAACGCTACTTGCCAATAAGCATAAATATATAACATTAAACAAAATCCATAATTAAAAAAATTTTTTTTTCAAACACTAATTAAGTAAAAAAGAAACAAAACTTGTAACACCTATACAACTCGCGCCACAGCGTCGTCAGTAAGCCTCTCCTTCTAACAGTATGTTTTGTCTCTTTTAAATTCATTCAACCCATTCATATGCTTTGTGACCTTTACAAATGAACTTTACGTTTCGCTTTTATAGGTAAGGGTGTTCTAAAATTCTTTGTTTTGGAAAATTTAATAACTCTGTAAATATTGATGTTTAAAGAATTTAAATGTTTAATACAACTTTAAAAAGTTATCCCCTATATGTGTGTTCATTTATTGTTGTGATGGTAACGACACGCTGTATGTATATATATATATATATATATATATATATTTATATTGATGGTTTTCATCTATTGACGAAGAGGATTGAACCTGGAATTTAGAAATCACTAAGGATATTCACTTTTTAGATTTTTAATGTTTAAACTACACCATCTCACATTTCTAGCCTTATCTAAGGTGATGTGCCAGTGCCTATTATTTCAAAATAAAGTAAAGTTTGGAACTTGTTTTAAAAGCATAACCTTCCCAGTCTAAAATGTTAATGTACAAAAGATAAGAGAGTTTTATTAATTATTTTTTGCATTGCAGATACACAAACTCCATGTAAAGAAAGAACTGCATTGCACAAAAGACTACAAGACAGTTTTAAATATGATCCAAATGAATCACCCAAAAGTTCCAAGGAGACAAAACCTATGAATGGGTAAGAGTTACTATTATAGCACTGGTCCCAAACTTATCACTACTGGAGAGTAATGATAAGTTTGGGACTCACCTCAAACTTTTTTTGTTGATGTTTTGTGAATAAGATGTAAGCTTACATAGTATATATAGTAGTATAGTACCTATTGCATTTACTGTTGTCACAATCATAATCAACAGCCTGTAGTAACTCAGTGATGTAGGCCACTAAGATATATCACTTAGCTGCCTTTGGCTATGTGTATCCAGTTATCATGTTTATTTATAGAAATTTATTATTTTTGATAACATTTTATATTTTTTACTATTAGTTCTACTGCAATCCAAGCAAAACCCTCTGAACAGCAAGAAGCACCAGTATTGGCAGAGGAAGGTGACTGGGCTCATTGTAAACTTGATTGGTTAAAACCCGATAAGATTCGAGATGCTAAGAAAAGAAGGCCAGATCATCCTGATTATGACCCCACAACATTATATGTGCCACCTGAGTATTACAAAACACAAACTCCAGTGAGTTTTTTTTTTTTTTATTATCACTGTTTAAATCAAATTTGTTTGTAGCAAACTTTGTGCTTTACTGGTTAATGTAATTAATAACAATGTACTTAATAATGATGTTTTTTCAATAGCTTACTAATTTAAATAGTTTAAAGGGAATATCTGTTATTTATTAACTGCTCCACAGTATTAATGTAGACATATTCGATTCTTCTACCAACATAATACATACACTCATGGGAGTTATATATTTATTTTCAATTGCTTATCGCCAACTAATTGATCATTTACTAAATTCTCTTATGTCATATTACCAAGTAAACTAATTGTTCATTTGTCAACTTCTCTTGTGAGAAAAATGTTTCTGTTTTAATGTTTCAGGGTCACAAGCAGTGGTGGGACATGAAATCTGCTAATTTTGACTGTGTCTTGTTCTTTAAAGTTGGCAAATTCTATGAGTTGTATCACATGGATGCAGCAGTTGGTGTTAATGAGCTAGGCTTCTCATATATGAAGGTAGAACATAACATGTGTAAAGTTTATCTCTATATAATTTCTCAAAGGTGTGTTTTGTCAGTATGCCATAACCTCTATAATACTTCATCAAATTCAATGATTCAAACACTGTTTTAAACTTATGTTTACCACCATTAATGAAAATTAGACAGGTTGAATAATGTTAATGTTCAGTGAGATACCCTTCATTGACCAATATTTATTTACACAGAATTATATTAATGTGTATTTGTGGATTTCTGTTGCCACTATAATAACAAATTCAAAAAAAAAATTTACTGGGGCTACCATAAAACAGGCATGATTTTTTTACTGTTATTATAGATAATGGTACGGAATCCAAGGCCGGTTTATTACCATAGTTTCTTATCCTAAATATTGTTGATTGAAATTTAATGTTTGACAAAAAGAACAAGGGAAAAAAGGCTACTCAAATATGGATTCATTTCTTCTAAAGAATTGGCACTAGGTTCACCCAACTCCAAAATCAACTTTTTTATCATATAAATAACTAATTCACTACTGTGATATTATTTCAAGAAATAACTGCATATTTCAGGGCGCATTTGCACACTCTGGGTTCCCTGAGAGCGCGTACGGACGTATGGCTTCAACTCTAGTGTCAAAGGGATACAAAGTGGCTCGTGTTGAGCAAACGGAAACACCAGAAATGATGCAAGAAAGGTGTAAAAAACGTAAGTAGTCATGAATTTGTAAAGGCATGAATGAAACTAGTTTCCTTTCATGTCATCTAAATAGAAGAAATACCACTGCCCTTGTATGTGATACTTCGTTTATTTAGATGACATATTGTGTACATCTATTGTGACAATTTGCAATGATCATTTGTGCTCATTTTCATTCATTCAGGTCGAATTTTTTTGAAATAGGATTTAAAAATTTTTTACTACCTATTACAAACAAATAACAGGTCAATGGGATCTAGAAAACGATTGTGCAGGCCAAGGCATATTGATATTAGCTTTGAAACATGAGTTTCTATACTATTATTATAAAGATTACTGAGAAAAATCACCAATTGAGTCCTCAAAGAATCTGTTTCCATCTGTCTCCCCAATCAAATCAACCGCCCATTGCAAGACCGAGTAGTCCTTCATACTGTGAAAATCTAAAATCTGTATCATTAAATATGAAACATATCATTATGTAGCAAATTCTGTTTCGCAGTATCGGGCAAAATGGACAAGGTAGTGAGACGGGAAATATGCCAGGTGGCAGTGCGTGGGGCCCAAGTCTGCGGTCTCCAAGATCCAGGGCCGTCCGACGCGGCTGCCGTCTACCTGTTGGCTATAGCCGAAGAGGTGACAATATAAATTATACCATGTAACAATTGTGATCAGACACAATAATATTTATACACTTATAAAACTGTTCCAATTTACAGGAAAGTAATGGATGTAGCACTTATGGAGTCTGCTTTGTGGACACTTCAATAGGTCAGTTCCACATGGGGCAGTTCCAGGATGACAAGCACTCCTCGCGGCTGCTGACCACTGTCGCGCACTATCCACCAGCATTAGTACGTTTCTTAATTATTTATTGCACCTTAAATATGTTTCCTTGCACAGTAGAAACAAAAGATAGACTTAATCTGAAGAGAACATAGATTGTTCAACTAACTCTTAGTTAAGATTAAGTACGACCCTTAGGTAAACTTGTTGCTATTTGATTCATGTCCAAACTATTCAATATATTACCTACGGCCGAAAAAAACCTCATAGAAATATCTGCCGTATGCCTTCGGTGTTGCACGAACGGACAAGCCCTTCTGGGGAAGTACCACAAAAGAACGGCCTTAAGTGCCGACGTGAAAGGGAGCCCAATTTATTAAACGGTGGCAACGCATGTGCAACGCTACGGGTATTTTTAATGCCCATGGGCGGCGGTTATCACTTAACATCAGGTGAACCGACAACTGCTGCCGCCTGAGAAACATTTAGTAAGTTTTGGTTTGAATTTACCTCCTAAAAATTTCCATTGTAAACTTTTTCTTTATTAATATAGCCCAATTTATATTGGTCAAGTGGTTAAAGGAGATAAGTACAGTGAGTAAATACAGCGGTGTGAACGATCGGACTGTAGCGACCAAAATGACGCTTTCTATTTTTTTGGTGCAAGTGCGTATTTTTATACGTTACTTGTCCATTTCGACAGGGAAATGCCACTTGTCCTGTACTCGCCACTTGCCGTTTTTTTTAAAAAATAAAACAATGCTTGCTATGCTGATTTTCATCCCATGAAAATTTTATTAATTTTTTATTACTTCTATGATATTTGTCATTTGATATATTAGTGCTACTATGTATTTAATAGTATAATAAATAAATAAATATATCTCCGAAAGGAATTTTGAAAAAAAAAGTTTGAAAAATTCTTTGTTTTTCTTATTTTTTCTCCGAGTCGGCAATCCTCGAACAGTTGGCAACCCTATCCGCAGCTGGTGTTCGACCGCAAGCGTACCAGTCAGCGCACGCTGGGGCTGCTGGCGACGCACTGCCCCGGCGCGAGGCGCGAGCCGACCGCCGCGTGGGCGCCCGAGAAGGCGCTCGCCACTCTGGCCGAGAAGTACTACAGGACCAACGCGGACGGACAGTGGCCGGAGGGGCTCAGGCCGTTCCTCCACCCGGGTGAATGGTTCAAATCAAATATCTTCATTCAACATAGGAGCATTACACTCGCTCATTGATAGTCAAATACTACTGTAGTCACTGGTTCGGAATAGAAAGCCACTGTACTGAGAAGAACCGGCGAAAAAAACTCATTTTTTGATATGAATATATTACAAATACAATATAAGAACTCTGATTGAAAGAGCCTGGAGCGAGAGTACCAGAGTTTATTATCATTTAAATAATCATTAATATTATAATAGCCTGTAACACACAAACATTCTTTTACTACTTTTTTTATATTTAGATTTTCTGATTGGTGGGATCTCTCTGTATCTGTGGTAGATTTAAAAAATGACTATCGATAGATATTATTTTTCTTACTTGGATTAATAAATTATTTGATTTGTTTTGTTTTCCATGTATTATAAGTTGGCTGACAAGTCAGCATTTAATGCAGATATGTACCTCAGCCAAGCTGTGCTATTTTCCCAGTGAAGTTATGTATGTTTAAATTATTAATGTGTTTTTCAATTTCCAGGAGATGCTTTAGGGCTCACGCCGGCCTCGCACTGCCATCTGGCGGTCAAAGCGTTGGGCGGCTGCGTTGCTTTCCTAACGAAGTGTTTGCTGGACATACAGATATTGGACATGGCCCAATTCACTGCCTACTCACCGCCCGACGTCGTAAACAAGACCTTATCGCCAGAGGTTAAGGCTCAAAACTCCTGGAGGGGTGGTAGCACGATGGTGCTCGACGCCATTACATTAAAAAACCTGAGAATCGTGCAAGACGAGGGTTGCTTGTATGATAAGATCAATTTCTGCTCAACGGCTATGGGTAAAAGGTACATAAGATATTTATACAGCGTGTCATTACAACCGCGACAATAAATGAACACACGTCTAATGCTACTTGCCGATAATCATAAAAAATATAATCGTTAAAAAATCCATAATTAAAAAAAAAATTTTCAAACAAACATAATTAAATGAAAAAGAAACAAAATTTGTAACACCTATACAACTACAACTGACTGATTCATAAATTCAGAGACTTTTTCATTCGTTGCCACACCGTCGCATTACAAGCCTCTCCTTCTAACAGTATGTTTTATCTCTTTTAAATTCATTCAACCCATTCATAAGCTTTGTGACCTTTACAAATGAACTTTACGTTACAGTTTTATACATACGGGTGTGCTAAAATTGTTTGTTTTGGAAAATGTAATAACTCGGTAAATGTTGATGTTTAAAAAATGTAAATGGTTGATACAATTTTAAAAAGTTATCCTATATATGTGTGTTCTTTTATTGTCGCGGTTGTAACCACATATATATCTCGTTTGGATTACAACTTTAACTCTTCATGTATAATTTTTATCCGATAATATAATGAAATAACAAAGTAAGTAGTACCACAAGTGACATGTTCTGGAGTAAATTCTTTTTTACTTTTAGGTTATTGTATCAATGGGTGTGCTCTCCGAGCTGTAGTCTAGCGGTGATAAAAGACCGCCAAGCGGCAGTCAAAACGTTGCTAGAAAATCAAGAGCTTTGTCAAGAAGCTAAGGACATTTTATCGACACTACCCGATCTAGAAAGGCTTTTGGCGAAGTGAGTACTCAGGAATATAATCGTCATTTATGTTGATTTCAATTTGCAAATAGTTTTAATACTTAAATTTTACGCCTTATATTTATCGTGTCTTATATTAGGTGTAATCTTACATTTATTTCTAATAGTAGTAGCAGTAGGTAAGTTATTTCAATTTTTTTTTACTATTGTATTAGGTTAAGTACCTATAGTGAAAGTGTTTTAGTAAATAAATAAAAAAATAAAACATCCTTTCTCTAGTTGTTAGGTAGTAGTTAATATCTGTTCATAAACTTATTATTAATATTGTATGGGAAATTGTTGAGATATTTTTGATGTTCTATAGACATTTCTTTAGACATTATAGACAATACTATCAGGCTTCAATACTCGGATGGGCGGGCTGGGCTGTCCGTGAAAGTACCGTGGCCGCACAAACGACGGGCGTGTAGTGGGAGTATGGCTTGCGTTTCGTTTGATTAGTAAGGTAACGCAGGCCCACTTTTAAAGCTTGGCGGGGCATTTGCAACTCCACGATTGTTGCGGGCCGGTGGCCGTAATCACTAATCATCAGACTAACCAGTATCATTGTCACCTTGTTACAAAAAATAAAATAAATATCTACTCAATATCTACCGTTATTTTTCATAAGTTATAATATACTAGCTGTTGCCAACGGCTACGTCTGCGTAGAATAGACAGAAAGACAGATATACATAAAATATGTATATAAATTATAGTCTTATTCTGATGTATAAGCTATATTATTGTAAAGTTTCATTAAAATCCATTCAGTAGTATTTGCGTGAAACAGTAAGAAACATCCATCCATACATACAAACTTTCGTACAACCATATGCATACATACAAACCATGTGTGACAGGTCGCATTATCTTGTTGGAACAAAGTCCTCGTATTCTCTATTCTCGATTTCGCAAGTTCTGGAGTCAATTATCCCTCTATCGTCGCAACATAGCGGTCCGTGTTAACGGTGATGTTTCGTCCTCATGAATCTTCAAAGAACCAATAATTCGTTTGCTTGGCATTGCTGCCCATACCGTTACTTTCGGACTATGCAGTGGTTATTGATGTTTCATTTAGGATTTTCGTCGTTCCAATGGCGACAATTTTGTCGGTTTACGAACCATTATCGAAAATGAGCCTCGTCAGAAAAAAGGATGTTGTCAAAAGTGGAAATGGAATCGACTAAGCATTTCTTCAGCAAATGCCCACCTTGCTCCGAAGTCGGCCTCTTAATTCCTGTGTTAACTGGAGCTTATAATCAGTGATGTGACGAGTTGGATTTTTTTTGACTCGAGTTACTCGAGTTGATTTGGGTACTGACTCGAATCGCAACTCGAGTTGACTCGCATCGAAGTCTCAGGTAGTGACATAGGGAGTGGGGGGCGGGACTCGGCCAACTCGGAGAGCACGAGTCAGCTCGACTCGAGGCTAAATTAGATAGGAAGTAATAATGATGTTGAATCGTGATGTTATGTGGCTACTCGAGTCGATTCGCAACTTCGTTTGTGGTCTGAACTAATCCTCTCCTTTTTCTATACACCTCGACCTCGAACAGTGTCCGACGGTTGGGATTTCAAAGACAAAATTTACAATCAATTGGCACTAGCGTGCATTTTATTTCGAAAATCAATCAACAAAGGTCTATATTATTCCAGCGCAGGTCTCAACATCGTGTTTAAGAAAATACGACAAAAAAATACCGCCATCTATCGCCTCAAAGTCGTACTTGTAAAATGTAATTGTACATAGTCGATTGCTTATCGAAAATAAAGTTAAAAAAAATTCTTTGCTATAAAAACAAAAGTTTTTATAGCAAAGAATTCCCACGCCACACTTCTGTTATTTAACGTCGTTACAAACAAAACAAAACAGATCACTAACAAATCAAAAATGTCAGTTCGCACGCGGATCGCCAACGGCCAACTAATAAAATCAAATAACAAAATGTCAACCAAAGAACAAAATAAACTTTTAAAGCGGTTTTTCATTTGCGCAATTCCGTTTTCGATCCTAGCCGAACGAGCCCGACTCAACCCGAGTTCTATTCGAGTTGATGCGAGTAAGATGCAACACCTTACGAACGGCGCGCTCGCGTGAAACGTAACTTTACATTTCACTCAACTCGAGCTGATGCGAGTTGCTACGCCTAACGAACCGCGCGCGCGAGCCGCGTGTGTAACTCGGAACAACTCGTGAGTCGTGAGGCTGCCGCGTATAACGTCCGGCTTGCGTTCGGACGACCGAGTTGATTCGAGTCGCTTAAAAGTGAACTCGAGTTGACTCGTTTAAGGTTTGACTCGAGTAACTCGAGTCGCACATCGCTACTTATAATGATGCAGTTTAAGATCCAACTTCAAAATTCGCTGTAAACTTTGTCGCGACAAGTTTAAAGCCGCCGATCGCTTCCGAGTAGACACTTGCGGATTTTTTGTGGTTTAAACGTGGAACCGGTCTCTTCAAAACCCTTATCGATATTTTAATTAAATTTGCACTCGGAGCTGAATTAATGTGTGTTAATCCATATTCAGAACAATACATTCGCCTTGTAGAGATGTATGAACGACCGTACTCGTAAAATTTGCGAACGCAAAAAGCACGACGCTTCCCGTCGAAGTTATTCATGGTTATTGAAACTGCACGAGTGGCACTATCCACGCTAGTCTCCCCAAACCCCCCCCCGCCCGCGCACTGTATACCCCGCGAAAAAATGACGCAATATGCATTTTCTATTGCGCCACCCTTTCTTTTTCTCTTTTCATCATCCTGCGCACTATAAGGCTCATGGCCTTTAAAGTACATGTTCATTCAACTATTGGTTATAGGGTGCACGCATTGGGAAATCTGAAAAAGTCCCAGAACCATCCGGACGCAAGGGCCATCTTCTACGAGGAGAGGACCTATTCCAAGCGGAAGGTCGTTGACTTCATCTCCGTGCTGCAAGGCTACACCTCCGTGTTGAAGCTCGTTGAGTTGTTCTCAGACGTTGAGCCGGCGCTATTGAGAAAAGTCACCCAGTTCCCGCCGGAAGGGAATTTCCCAGATTACAGAGAGACTTTGAAATTCTTCAAGGTAAGTTAAAGTGAAAGTAACAGCCTATAAATGTTCCACTGCTGGGCAAAAGTCTCCTCTGTACAGATGGTAACAAGGCATAGTCCACTCCACTACGCGACCTCACTGTGGATTGGCGGATTATACATCTTCGAAATACATTTTTTCTTGTTATTATTTCAAAAATATGCAGGTTTCCTCAAGATGTTTTTCTTCACCGCTGAGCATGTGATAAGTACCCAAGACAAACACAAGAACGCCTGGACACATTTGGGGGGCAAATGAAGACCTGTCGTGGCAAGAACAGCCCAAGACGGAACACGATTACATACTGCTGGGGGAACCTAAGGGGCCATAAGACATTAAGATGTCACGTCTGTTAATCAACAGTGGGCTCGTGTGGTTTAATATTCCCTCTACGAAGTGGAGGACTTTGCTGTTATAGGCTGTCACTGTATTTTCTTTTTTTAAGCTACGCAAAAGGATCAATTAGGGAAAAGATAATTAAATATTTGCAATTCACGTGATCCTTTCCAGGAGGCATTCAACCAGCAAGCGGCGGAGAAGGAGGGTCGTATACTACCAGGTCAGGGTGTGGACCAAGAGTACGACAATACCTTGCAGACCATACAGGAGATAGAACAGGAACTGCAGGAATATCTCGTGGGGCAGGAAAAATACTTCAAATGTCGTGTGAGAATACTATTACGTAGTTATTTAACAGTATTTATTTATTTATTTATTTAAACTTTAACAAAAAAAATTGTGTATAGGTGGATTTAATGTCTAAGGCATTCTCTTCCAGTCAGCTTATGGGCGACACAGAGACAAAAGAGGCAGGTGTAAAAAGCTTCAAATTAAATTTTAAGTTAAAATAAAAGTTATATACATATTCATATATTATTAAATTTAAAACATATACATGAACATATATAACGTATATAAACATATTAAACCCAATATACCAAAAATATATAACATTATTTAAGGATATTGTAGATATACATCTAAAATAACACTTGGCGAGGAGAGCTCTTGAAAAATTTATTTTTTGAATAAAAATTGACATTTATAGTATTTAGCTTTATACATAGTAAAGCATTAGGGTTTAGAAGGATATGTCATAAATATATTAGTGAAAAAAATGTAAATATGTTTATTTATTTAATTTTTACGAAAATTGTAAAGAATAATAAAATTCTCAATTGACTGTGTGATATATTTCCCATTTGTTATTGTGATAAATTTCAGTTAAAGTACGTGGGCACAGATAAAAAGCGATATCAGATAGAGGTGCCTCAGAGTAGCGCGTCCAAGGCAGGCTCCGAATACCACTTGGAGGGTGCTCGGAAAGGGTTCAAACGATACTCTACATATGAGACTAAGGTAAGTTTCTTCAGGAACTATCAGTGAATATTCGTAAACACTGCCCACGTTTGTGCGTGACTTTAAGCAAGTTTTTTGGTTTCTTTGACCAATTTGTTAATATGGTTAAATATTTTATGGGCTTAGGGAATGAATGGGAATGGAGAATTTGGCTTTTTAGAAAGAAATCATGCAAATCAATCCGAAATTTATTTTACAAAAATCAAATACAACTTCTAACAAAATGATTACCATCAATTTATCATTTAATAAATTATAAAACTACATTATTTAAAGTCACGACCAGAACTCCCGCCACTTTACGCACAGAGTATCTATACTTCTTCTTTTTTTTTTTAAATTACCGTGCCCGGTCTTGGGAAGCTTGGATTCGGTAATACTATTGAAATTGAAATTGAAATTTGCTTTAACAGGAATTCCTTTCGGACATGATTGCCGCCGAGGAGCAGAAAACCAACGTGCTGAAGGACTTGAGTCGTCGAATATTCGAGAAGTTCTCCGCCCACTACAGCCAATGGGAGGCGGCCGTTCAATGCATCTCTACACTCGACATACTGCTCGCCTTTGCAGAGTTTGCGCGGCAACAGAACGGCGATATATGCTTGCCGCAGATCACTTTTGACGCTACGAAGATGGTTTGTTCCCATTATTATAAAAAAAATATATCCGTACCGTAGAAATGTTACAAACACAATTTAAGGCGCTGTATGCAGTAAAAATAGGTTTTTCAAAAGATTTTTTAACAAAATCTATACATGTTATAGAAGCAAAAAAAATATATGTTAATCTTGATCTTACATTCTAATGGACCATTGTTTTCAAAACATATTCTCGATATATTTTCTCGATAGAAAAAAATCACGAACTTACCACTAAACGTGAAGTTCAAATAAAAAAATAGACATAATAAATGAACAAATCTTAATGAAATTAATATCAGTGGTGTGGAATATATTAATAAAAAGGACTATTGTCTTAATTTGTTGATTGAAGTAAGATATTTGTAAATATTAATTTAATTCATTAAAATTAATTCGAACGCAATGGCCAAAACACCGCGCCACCGCGGCGTTGTTTCAGTTCTCTTCTAACTCCACACGTTGAACAGAGAGCGCTGAGGCGCCTTGCTAGATGGACCTATGCCGCTCATCGCCCGCTCACCGTTACGAAATATGTTTCGTATTTATTAAATAAAGAGTTTTAATTTTATTAGACCTTCGAAAACACGAAACTAAAAAATATATATTCACATATTTCGTATTTATAAATTATTTGGATATATTAACAGTTGTTAATTAATTTATTTAAAGCATAATTTCAATGTCTTAACTCGTGATTGAGTGGTCTATCAGTCCTATACATACAGTTTATAGGACTATCATTCTTTATGGATTGGGTTCAAATCCCTAAATTTTTTGTTGTACTTATTGTTACTTTTCTTATTTAGAAGTATTTCTTTAATACCATTTAATTATTGTTCATTTTATTATTTTCATAAATAATTACAACGAAATATTATTTTATTTGTTCAATGTTGAGAAAGTTGGAGAACAATCTATCAGTAAATAAACCAACTTTTCGTATTAAATTTTTTTAACGTCATCAATTTTTTTATTAATTTAATAATTTTAATTAATTTATATAATTATTTAATATTTTTTTTTTATAATTTTTTTATTTCCCAAATTGAGCCATTTTATTAAATAAATACAAAATAATTAGTTAGCTAACAAATTAAAAGTGAAAATAATATAAAAAATACAACTCCACACGATGAGGGTTTGAACTTGGAACTACAGCAATAGTTTACCGTTGTGTATGACGCTCGGATCAACAGGCTACGCGAGGTCTGTGCAAAGTGACAAAATTTCGATTCTAGTTATAATTGCTGTCGTTTATCGATACAAATAAGGATTTTATCGATAGTTTTTTAAATTTCATTTTAGTTGAAAAAGTAATATAACATAGTAAATCTTGAACATTTAAAGGATAAATTATAATTCCTTATATATTAAAAAAAATGTAATAAAAAAAGTTGTATTCGTAATTTCTGCAAAAATTTTATGATCCATTTCTTTAAAATCACAATATAAACCATAAAAACATAAAATAATAATTATAAGTAATTTGCCTTTATTAATTTATTTGACATTAAGATGTATTTTTAATCAATTCCTTTTCCATTTAATTAAAAAAATAATAATAAACAGGAAGATTTTCTAAAATTGTTGATTCCTTTCTCATACTTTATATTTGTTTGTTTATTATTATTCCTATTATAATATAAAAGTAAAATACAATCATGGTCTATAAAAGGTATTATAGGGATCAACTGTGTACATTTTCGAAAGCTTTCCATGATACTATCGATAGTATCCTACGGCCCATCACTACACACACACTAGGTAATGAATGAATGGTCTAGCGGCGCGTCGACGAAACTCGCGCGCTGCGCGCCGCTAAGCGGCGTCCTCCGCTTCCTCATACTTCACCACCCAAATAGTTAAAAATTCACTGCATACAGCGCCTTAAAAGGGCACAACAAATACTCATCCCGGGTGAGGATCGAACACACTATAAGCAATAACAATAACGAAGTGTATTGCTTAACAACAGCCATCCGATTCAAAAAATAACTGAAGACTTGTATTTTTTTAGTCGACGGCTGTGTTTAGTGACTAATTAAGGCTTAACTGAAATTAAAATTGCTTCTTACCAAATTGATTTTTATTAATAATAGCATAATATTGAACTCAATAGATATCCTATATTAGTTTTGTATTGTTCAGTTACCGAAATGCGGAAGTAGTATAGTATACATACATATAGTATAGCATACTATTACTAGTATCCACTGTATATGCCACTTCTACATTATTGGTCCATAGTACTTCCCCATTCGCAGCTGGATAATAGGCTGTGTGACCAACGCATATTAGACAGTTTTATAATTCTTAAGATGAAACATTTAAATTTGAACAAAAAATGGACAAAACATTTTTTGCCGCTTCTCTTTTGCGATTCCGAAAGTCGTGATTACTGCAGCGGCGTATATATTTTCATCCATTTTATTCTACAAATTGTTATTTTGCCTCCTATACAATTTTATACACGATGAATATCTGAAACGCAGATAGTTTCACAAAGTACTCCCAGCGTCTTACCCGATCAGGAGGCTCACCCGATGGTCAGATCACCGTCGCTTGAATATCTGCATCACCTCAGGGCTTGCAAATGCTTTGCCGACCTTTTAGGAGTACGCTCTCCTCTTGAAGGCTCCCAGCTCGTAATGGTTCCACGGTATGTATAATAATGCCCGGTTCCTATATTAACAAAGCGAGGCGTTTTCCTTACGAGCCGTTGCATTACCTACGGAAAGTGAGTTACTAGCTTTCCTTTAATCTACAAGTCGTTATGAAAGTTACGAAGCTATGTAACTAACGGCCGTTCGTCGAATATAGGAACCGAGCATAAATAGAGAAATGTTGCAGCCATACGTGAAGATCGTGGAGGGCCGCCACCCCTGCATCCCCCTCGCCGAGGAGTTCATCCCCAATGACACCCAGCTCGGCGGCGAAGGGGGCAGCCTCCTGCTGCTCACCGGGCCCAACATGGGCGGCAAGTCCACGCTAATGCGCCAGCTGGGCTTGCTGACGGTCTTGGCCCATTTGGTAAGTTGTTATGGATGTCGACAGAGAAAAGGAAAATTCGATGCCATATGTAGCCATAGAGTTTTAGGATTATTTTTTTTAGTGCCAGTCGCTGCACTCAAGATGTAACTTGAAATTTGATTTTTTGTAGATGAAAACTATCGACGGATTCGATAGGTCTTCCGCTATCAAAGCAAGATACTTTACATCGAGGATTAGCGGGCGCATTTCATTTATCTATGTAAAACTTCACATATTAGATATTTCTGTTTCGTCTTTTACCCAATATTACCGACATTTCTGTAAAATATTTTATTTTCCTTATCATACTGATTATATATAAACTAAGTTAATAAAAAAAAAAACTTTGTTTTGTGATTTTAAAAGTTGTCGCACGCAAATTATTACTACAATTTCTGTTTTTTTTTTTTTTTCAAATTGTTACCATTATGCTAGGACTTATGAAGCTAGTATTATTTAATATTAAAATAACTGTAATCATAACCAAAAAATGTGTAGAAAATCAATAGAAATCTCGATAAATGATCTCATCATTTATCTGTATCTCTTGTTCATGCATATGAATATGAAATTAATGATCTCTTTGTTGGAAACTCCGCTTGTTGGTATTGGGCTATTCAATATTTTTAATATATCTCAAGTGTAATGTCTATTTTTAATATATTATGTTAATTGCAATGACTTGTGATTGTCTTTATTTCAGGGTAGCTACGTATTGGCGCAGGAGTGCAGTTTGAGTCTGGTGGACCGAATATTCACGCGGCTCGGTGCCTCTGATGACATATTGTCGGGACAGTCCACTTTCCTAGTGGAGATGAATGAAACCGCAGCCATAGTGAAGCACGCCACGGTCAATTCTCTGGTGCTTTTGGACGAACTGGGTGAGTGTACTTTTACACAAATACATTTCGGAAAATGAAGATTTATTTCTCGTACAATAATCGTCGCTGTCGATTATGTCGGTTGAGTAGTGGTAAGGTGTTACAATAGATGGAAACACTAGTGGGTACAATAAATTATTTCTAAACTTCTTCATTGGTTACAATCACCTGGTTTTATTTAATGACAAATAATTTATATGACTATTTGCGGACCGAGCAGACGTCCTGTACACACGACTTAAATATGATAACTTAAAAAAATGTCAATCTAAACCGTTCTCGAATCGACCTGAAGACAATTTTAATGAAATTGTCTTCAGGTCGATTTGATTAAAAAAATTTCATTAAAATCGGTCTACGTTAGCACGGTGGGGTTGGCACAGGATGTGAATCATGTTTTTAGTGGTATATTGTATTGGATTAATCACAATTTTTTTTTTATCACATGTTTCTTAAAAATCAAAGTAGCCTTAATTGCTTGTTCTAACATCAGCTGTCCGTAGTATAAAGTCCGCACAGTAGTCTCAGAGATTATCCGATCAAACAGATAGATAAACAGACAAAGTTTAACAAAAATAGTTTTCTGATATACATACCATGCAAACATTAATGTATCAAAAAGTTGTAGTTTTTATTTAAAAGAATAGTAAAGCAGCCTATAGATATGTTCCACTACTGAGTCCTCAGTAGAGAGGATATTAGGACATAGTCGAACTTAACATATCTTGAAAATATTTCTTTGTTTATATTTATTTGTGTAGATAATTAGATACATAAACATGTGATACGTGACTTTCAGGGCGCGGCACTTCGACATACGACGGCACCGCGATTGCTTCGGCGGTGTGCGTGGAGCTGGCGGCGCGACGTTGCCGCTCTGTGTTCAGCACCCACTACCACGCTTTGGTGCGCTACCTGGCCAAGGAGCCGAACCTCGTCCTGGGCCACATGGTGCGTCACTTCGATCAAACTGCGCGACAAATCGTGACTGTTCGATATCACACTACGCATCATAACGTGATTGTTCGATATCACACTCTACGCACAATATCATGATCGTTCGATAACCACAATCTATGCACCAAATTGTGGTAGTTCGATATCACATTCTACGCACCAAATCATGATGCCTCTATAATATCATACTACGCACAAAATCGTGATCAAGTAGTTGCTTGAGTAGTCACCGCTAGTAAGTGGAATCTGCATTGTGGGATTCATACCCACGTCCTCCCGGTACGCGCACCAACGCTGGCCCAACTAAGCGAAGCGGTTGATGACCTCGCGGCGTAAAATCTCGGCTTATATGTAATCTACGATTGTCGTCATCGTGTGCATGCAGAGTGCATATTTTACGGAATGCAGACACTGCAACTATAGTTTTTATAATGAATATTTGAACGATGTCGCTTTGCTATTAAAATTTGATTAACTTTATTTTTAGTCCTCTCGTGTCTCAAAATGACTTAATGTATAAAACTTATAGTAATAAAAATGAGAAGTTTCATCTAGAGTGCAGATCAAATTTTTAATTTTATTTTGACTACATTAAAATCAGATGGAAAGCTCGCTCGTAATTATAAATACATATTGCTTACTCATGAATCGATTTTTTTTGATGTTGTATAGTATACTGTCGATGTTCGGTACGTTTCCAACAAAGTTTGGAATCTATTTGAACAATCGTTCATCATACATCGGGAACATCGTGCAGTGATTAAATTAGTATTTTTACTTTTCAGGCCTGTATGGTCGAGACGGACGAGTCGGTGGACACAGAGAACGATATCCCCGAAGAGACGATAACGTTCCTGTACAAGCTGACGCCCGGCGCCTGCCCCAAATCTTACGGGTTCAACGCGGCGCGCCTGGCGGGGATCCCCCGGGATATAACGCGCAGGGCGCAGCTGATCTCCAGGAACCTGGAGAAGGAGGCCACCTGCGCCAGGGCCTTCAGGGACGTACTCAGGACGAACGAAGCCGGGGATCTGAGGCAACTGTTGTCGACACTGAGCATTTGAATCTCGTTAATATTATAATATTAAATGATGTAATCGTTAGTGTTTAGTGTACTGTACCTACGATAGCTCCGATTCCTCTTTGTACTGTGATTGTGTAATGTTAAGTTTCAAGTTAATGTCGGATCGTTATTAGGACCGATCGTCTTTTATTGAGATTTTGGTTTTAAGTACTAAAAACGCGCTGAAGAGTTTGACTCTCTGTATGTTGAATTTATTTTTCCATTACATCTGTACTCGTCAAGTATAAGACTATAGTTAGTGTTTTTTAATGTCACAGTGTTTAATGTTTTTTGTTAATGTGTGATCTATAAACAAATCTGCTGGTTAGTGCTTATTTACGGCTTGTGATAGATAACCCATCAATTTGTGATTTCAAATAATTAGTAGCCATGTTATGACCCCACCAATTTTTTTATAACTTTTTAATAGTAAAACATTTCTTGAAGTGTCTGGTTTCATTTAAAAAGAAGCAAACAACATTGTGATGTTCCATTTAATTTTCGTACCATTTCATTGTACCTAAATTACAAAATCATTTATCATAATACACTTTATTATAGTTTTGCTATAAAACCCGCGCCTGAAAAAAATCTATAAATATAATTACGTTAGAAAACTTAAGTATACAAAAATACAAACAAATTAAAATTTAAAAGATTAGCAATATCACACATTTCTGACACATTCATTTAAAATGAACTTCATAGAGAGTTGGATACAACTATTATCTAATAAATGCTTTATGGAATTATTAACTAAATTGTTCACAAACTTAGATTCTTCACATGACAGCAAACAAGCTATGAATAACTTACTCATACCTAGAAATGGCTACATAAATAAATATTTATTAGTTTTCAATTCATTCAAGTAAAAATATTCAGTACCGAAACAATCATAATAGTCATATATAAAAACGTGGTAGTTAGGGACAAATCCATAGCTCTCGTCTGCGTATAGCTTCGTAACAATATTGACTAGTTTTGTTTAAAATTATAGGAAAAATCCCTTACACGCTTCAATGTTTTCGCTTATTATTGTAACATTTAGGATCAGAAAACTTCGCTATCGTAACTTTAATTTATCATTAATTGTACTTAAAAATTGAGATGTAAATCAAACAATTATGTAAAAACATTCGTCGGTTACGGCTGTGCCAAAAAAATTATCTTCCTGTTTCCTGTCAAACATTAAAAACAGTTCTGACAATGTCATTTCCTTAACCCAATATTTATTTCGTATATATTATATCTAATTTGGTGTTATTTTATCATCTTAAAAATATCGCATACTATTAAATGTCAAGTACTAAAGTACAAGAATTTATTTTATTTATTAATATTATGATAATTTTTATCAATACAACATGTATTTATGTAAGTTTATTTCAGCACTTCTAATATAAATTAAAATACACTTTACACATTCATTTAAAACAACGAAAACTAATAGGATAATATTATCTTTATTTACTTAAAATTATATGCAAACCAGTAATTGATAATAGTACTTTAGTTTTTATTGAAATCTGATATATTACTATCAATTTGTTTTCTGTACCAGTCTTTTCATATTCATTTATAAAGCACTTAATAGTTATATTAATATAAATAAGTTTTCACTCGTATAATTGGAATATTTTCGGAATGTTTTATATTATAGCGACCAACATTTATCGTGTTCTTAAAATGAATTTATTTTTTAATTGTTCCTAACAGCGTCTTCAGCATTTTCTTAAAAATCGCTTAGCATTTTAAACATAATATAATTTATTCACATAAATATGATATTTTCATTATGTCCTCTATTGAAAATATAGATGTCCGATCAATATCAAAACATTTTACTTTATCAACTATTATTCATATGTAGGTCAGAGAAAAAAAACGAAATTATCATTATTACTAACATAATTATCCTTTTTATAATTTAAACTATTTTATAATTTGTTTTAACTAGGGCAAAACCTTACGATTTTTTTTACAAACATCAATGAATGAAGATTGAAGACGTCAAGTCGTCTCAACTAATCTAAGCCTAAAATCGATTTAAAACAAACGGAATTTCCTACCATTGAACACGTTTAAACGTCACAATACCTCATCTTCCATGAAAATATTCATAAATACAGCGACATAGTTTTTTTAGATCTATTTCATAATATATATTATCACCGTCGATGGCTAAGTCTGTACGGGTAAAGATGGGTCGGATGAAGTATATACACTACTGCGATCGCTTCTAATAATTAAAAAAAAAAGTTGCCATAGACAACGACGGCTCTTCGACAAGCGTATCGTGGAAGGCCGGAAGCGTTAATCCGTCGATGGATGCGCGCAAGTCGACGCCCTCGAAACCGGCAACGCCACGCCTCCGACCGGGCAGCTGTCGAGTGGCCGGAGTCACACTCAGAGCTCGTCATATGAAGAGCTCTCCCTCTCGTCGAAGGGGCGCGCCCTCTCGCCCCAGCGGTCCCAGCGCTCCGAGCTCAGCAGCGACTCAGTGTCCTCGTCCGGTTGGGGCAGGGGGTAAACGATCCCGTCGCCATAGCTACGCGGGCATCGGGCCAATGAGAACATTCAATAGGATAGTGGCGGCCCGTATGGCCGGATTGTGAGTGGAGTGCATTAGTGAAACGAAATACATGTGTACGCTGGCCTATATGCAGTGTTGCAGTCTAACGGAATACATTGTAAGGGCGTCCATTAATTACGTGCAAACTCAAGCTATTTGGGAGGGTTAGATAAAAGCTTGCGTAAAATTTAAATTTACTCTTTTTTATGTGAAAATCTAGCAGGGGAGTAGTACATTATTAATGGTTTACAGGCACATTGGTGCCACTCTAAAACAGTGGGTTTGGATACCTCACTCACCAGCGAAAAGCACACAACAATTAAAGAAAAATATCGATATTTTCTTTTTAGGCCCTGTTGTCAAAAAAATGTATGCCAACCATTACATAATTTGAATGTACAGACTCGGATGTTACGTCCCGGATTCGAATTTGAAAAAAATATAGTTTTTGATACGATTTCGATATTGAATAATTTTTATCGATATTTCGGACCAAAATATGTCTGCTAAAAATATCGATATATTTTCGGCATCCCTACGTACAATGAACTTCACGCCGTTCTATGAGCCATCATCGGCGGACCAAACGTGCCTCAAAGTTGACCCAGATATGGTCTAGATTCGTAGGAAAAAAACTGCGCCAATAAAGGCAAGATTCAGATGTCCTTTTTCTAGCAACATAGGCTGATGATAACTCAGATAATATTTTGTATCATAAAGTGGAGGATCAATGGCGGGCCGGAATAAAACTATATAGTATACGGTCGTGGCTTACTTTGCGAAACCTAAAAGTATGTATGTATAAATTGATAATTATAGGTGATTGAAAATAAGCTGTGACTTCACCAAATTTAAATGCAAATATGGGAACTAAATCTAGGTGAGGTGTTATTAATTAATGGACTCTCCCTTATTATGTTAAGGTAATCTCGATGCATTGTTTTGGCGCGAAATCGTCGTCAATTTAGTGCTATTTTTATAATATAAATCTTAATTACTCTGCCATTTTACTTTCCTTTTTACTTAACTAACATTTTCAGTTTATTTACAGGATCCCATAGAAAATTTAAATTCATGAAGTTTTTACTAAGTTGCCTGAACAAGTATCTAAATATAAGCATGTGCAAGAATGAATGAAATTATTAAAGTAAATTATTTTCTTTTTTTCTGTTTCTTTATACTACTTAAAATTAATTTTATCTGGTACCCTAGATGTTATAATTTCATAACGGCTTGCGATAAACCTTAATAATTAATTTTAAAAAACTGAAGATTTATTTTGCCCTTTTATATACATTATATTTAAGTACGCTCAAAAAAACACTACGAGATCACGTGACATAATCAAATTATTTATATTATATTTTTTATCTCGGCTACTGTACTTTGTAGTCTAGCATATATAGCAAGTAAGCCCATCTAATCATAATATTTATATACATCGAAAATCAAAATAACGCTGTTCTTCGCCAAATGATGTTAATATAGTAGTCATCTATTAAACAGATCTGCTACTGCTATACTAAACAAGCTTCAAAATACTGGTGGTGACTAAGTGAAATTAGCATGCAAAAGGACACTGCTCCACTAAAACGTCCGAATCGATATAAAAAAGAAGTGAATGACTAACACAGATTCCTTAACACCGTATGCGGTGATTTTGGCGCCAATGAATGAAAAGCACGTATCAGTCCGAACAAAATTTATTATGACTCGGTGTGGGGAATATAAAAGTTGACGTTGTAAATGTGACTTCCTTATACTATTTGCGGGGCGGTCCGTGCCCTTCTGGGACAAAGTCTCCACCTCTCAGTCTCTCGGTCCCCCTCCGCGCTAAAATAGTAATAAAACCTTATTCCGAATACGCCTGCGTCATGAAAATTTAAATTTGGAAGAAAGAAAAGAAAAGATAATTTTGTACATTTGTGACTAGAGATTCGAAACCCCTTCTGTCGACGCTGTAAATTTATATACTCTTTTTAGGTTCAGAAATTTGTATAGCTTGTTATGCAAATATTTTTATGTAAATGACAGGAGCTGTTTCGTAAAATAAACAATATATATTAATAGACTGAGAGAGTGTGCGAGAAAGGCAGTGTGAAAATTTTGAAAACGTAACTTAGTGAATTGAAAACGCAACGCTTAATAATTTACTATTGGGAAGTATTTCCTATGAAATTTTATTTGATAAATGCTTCAAGATTTTTTTCAAAATAACTGTATTTTTGCGACATTTATTTATACCAATTAATTTTTGTTTGCTTTTGGATTTTGGATTAATTTGGGTTTGCTCAAAGCACTAAACATGCAACAAGGTAACTAGATTGTATTTGTTCATAGTTCTGACGGACTATTTAAGTAAATTACATTTAATTGCTGCTTAATTTAAACCTAGTAAAAAAACTATACTAGAATATCTAGGCATGGGATATTAATTTTAATTTGTCGTGCAAACCCTTAATGGTAATAAATAAAATATGTAAGTGAGGAATGTCGAATGTATTAGGTATCCATTTGCCTGCTAATACAGCAGCAATGCTGAATAAACTACAGATCTATGAAGGCTAAGCGGTTTAGTTTTCGCGCCATTTGAAGCACTGTGTTACCAGGTGAATAAAGCGTTGTTGCAATGAAATAAAATAAAAGAAACAATAAAAAATAAAACAGAACATTTTATTTCGCACATTAATAATACTCACAAAATAAGAACAGAAAGAACTCTCTAGCCTTATCAGTCTTGTGTTTTGTATATTGATCGAAAATTATAAATGCATACAAAAGCATACCTCGTATTTATTAATTACATTGTATTATAAAAATATATGTTCCTATTAAACATCATTTCCATTGGGTGATAAAACGACCAGACACTCACATGACTTGAGGTTCATCCATGAATTTGGTAAAAAGAATGTTCCTTGCAACTAAATTATAAATTTATATTACAATTAATTTTCAATTAATAGCGTTATATGATATATAACATGTCAAATTCATAATTTAAGGACGTATTAATAAAGATAAGAAAAATATTCGAAAGTATGGGGAAAAGCTTACGTCTCTAGAAGCTCAACTATACTAATGGACGCAGTATTAACAATAAGGTAATTTATTCTATAATATAGGCACAACCTTAAGTTTTAAGTAATATGAATTACTAAACAAGAATGATAAATAATCATGACAAATTTATAACTAAGATATAGAGTTTATTGACTGCGTATTGTATTCTAATTACACGAAGTGACTAAAATTTAATTAATAAAGTCTAAATATAAGCAACATGTATAATTAGTTAAAAAAATAGACATGACCAATCGCGAGCAATGACGTATATTTCAATAGGCCTATCGCAACCCAATAAATTTTGTGAACACACCTAAAACGTATAGGAATGTTGATATTTGGAGTTTCGGGGTTACATTAAGTAACCGGACGGTAACAACGCTACCAGGTGCACTATTATTAGTTGGTAGATTATTAATAACTGCGATGCAGTACGACACTAGAAATTTACTCGCCACGCCTACGGATCAGACGCGGGAGGGGGGGGGGGGGCGATGTGGGTGCGGGGGGCTGATTAAGTGAGCTGTCCCTCAAGGTATGTGGGTGTCGGCCATCGGCGGTGCGTTCTGGTTGTTCTCTGACCTGGAGCGGGTGGTGCCCATCGACTCGTAGCCGTGGCCGTCCTGCGCCGTGAACGTCTGCAGCTGGTGCTCGCGCCGCACCGGGTATTCGCACCCGTCCCCGAGGCTGACGGAACGAGCACCGGTTTCGCTTTTTTTTTCGTTTCGTTTCGTTTCTCGCGCGCTCCAAGGCGGCGCGCCAAAGCGAAATTCAAGATGGCGGCCGCGGGCGTCGCACGTTCGGAAACGTGGGCCGATCGCGCGCCGTTATTCGGACTACGTTCGCCGAGATGCGTTCGAATGGCGATCGTCGCTTTTTTAAACTTTGTCGTTTTGGTGAATTTTTGTTCATTGGTAGTGTTGTGTAATTTCGTTGGTCGTGCTTTATGCTTAATGCATTCTTTGTGTAAATAAACACATGCATAAATATTGCACATAGACCTCTGGAAAGAGACAATCGCCTGATTTCGGTATCGTAGAGTGTTCGTTATCTCTGTCACACGAAACGCTAACAGTCTGGTAAATAGTGTGTGAAAGGGATAACGCTATACGAAACAGAAAATATTCAATTGTCTCCATCCAAAGGTCGATGCGCAATATTTATCTTCGAGTACTATACTTGTGTTAGTTGTTAGGATGAAAAATGGGAGGTGCGATGTTTTGTTTAGTTTTATATAACCTATCTACTTATTAACAGTTTAATCATGCGAAATATAAATGAGTAACAAATGAGGCCATTGATGAAATTATTTTTTAATAACGATCATGACTATTAACTGCAGATTTATGATTGTTAGATAAGCAATTAATATTAGTTATTACCGATCTGATTTACTTGCACATAAATTTAGACTACAAAAATGTTAAAAATACATTTTATATTATGTTACTTAATTTATAATTTTAAGGCATTACTTAATTGTTTATTTTATTTTGTATATTTTTATTAATATAAATTTACCTTTATTATGTTACTTACATATGGAATAACGTACTTTGTTATTTTGTTATAATACCGATAAAATATGTATAATATGAGGAAATAAGAGAAATGAGTGTTGTAATGAGAGTGAATATTATGGGGACCACTATAATAGATCTAATTTATTTAGAATGCTAATCAAACTAATTTTCATCTATCACTTAGATATATTCTATTTGTGTTTATTGATATAAATTATTCTCGTAGATGGTTAAAGTCCTGATCACAAATTGTCGTGTTAGGTAACGTCATTCACTTCTTTTTCACGTTAATTGACATGCACATGTCATCCGGTAAATGCAACTGACAGATTTAAAACACTAGCAACATACTCACAGATAAGCATGTACAAACATGTAACACACATGCACGTATTATTTATATCCAAAACTAGCCTAAATCTATCTTATATTTTGATAGGAAAAGATATGATTAAACGTCGAAAACTTAAGATATTGTCAATTCGATTACACAGACAGAATAAACACACCCAAGATGCTAATAAACGGATATCTTAAAAAAAAAAACACGAGGCACGCGGTGAGACAACAGTTGGAAGAAATACGTTTCAATTGGACTTCGCTGTTCTGTAACTGTTATCGGCTATAGAAGTGAGAATCGAGCGATTGGCGATTTATTAAAAAAAAAATTACCTCGTAAAAACTGGCACCATCCAGAGGTTGGGACTGTTACCGAATACCTCTTTGAAATTGTTGAAAGCACCTATGGAGAAGCCGTTTTTGTCGGCGCCACCTCTGAACATCGGCGCTCGGAATGCCTCTGGAAGATAATAAAGAAATATTGAACGCAATTCAATTTGAAATAATACAGTAACGGCTTATATTTATGTGCCACTGCTAGGCAAAGGCCTCCTCCGAATATTCTTTGGAGATATTTGTTTTATGAAAAGAAAAATGTTTTTACGAAATTAATCATTTGATCGTCTTCATAGTTTCTGCCTTCTGCATTCACAGTGACTATTTGACGTTTTGGTTTAATTTATTACGATAATATTTTTTCCATGAGCGCGAAACGAACGAATTTTTGGCATTAAAAACGGTGTTAATGAAATCAAGGATATTGATAAAAAGACATGATTTTGATCGCGTTTCAAATCAGAATTCAGCAAAATATTTTAGTAAGACAACCAGCACAAATACATATGAATTGCATTCGTTTAAGACGTGACATTATATTACGTTTTTAATGAACTATTTCACGTTTCATTCGTTTAAAATTACATTATACAATAAGGCACTGCTTAGTTCCTTATATACAACTAAGATACATTAGAAATATAACCAAACCAAAGTATTCAATACAATATGACTAAACACTTCAACTTGAAAGTGGTGTGCTGTTCAAGTTAAGCTGAGACTATTTGTATACGTACATAAGCATTAATTAAACATTATTATTTATGTAGCAATATAGCGTAAAAATCGAATCAATATTTAAAAAAAGTAATAAGTTGCAAACTTCTTAAAGTACATTTTACGTTTACAAGTAACATTCTACCATAGTGATCTCTAGATAAGTTATCGTAAATTGATACATTCACGAGTACTCTTAACTAACTCTTATGTATATATTATCTATGCTCATGGCATGAAGTGACCACATTTACCGTCAATCATATACTTTAGCAAATTGCCTATAACTTTTCTTGTCGGACTGCGATATCCGAGGCGAGAAATTAGGGCATCTGAAACCAAAGTCGACGTTTCAATTACTTTATAAATCATAACTACATTTCACCTCTCCAACATAAAACATCAAGTCGGCTCAATAAAATTATCTTTGTGTTTGACTTATGAGCTATAAAAAACGAAGCAAAAGATAACAAAGGTACAGAAAAAAAAAATAGTTTTTAATACTGGTGTAATTTTCAAAATGCAATAAGACAAACGGAAATGTGGTCACTCTATATCTTTCGCTTTCGTATGAGTCACGAGTACATAAGACTTTTCGCTGCGACAAAACGTGTACACAATTTGTGTACGCACCCATCGCGCATTTACTTACCCAGCGTAGTCCTGTTGTGGGCGACGAGGTAGCAATGGTAGCCGAACAGCGAGCCGAGCGTCGTCGCGAACATCAGCGCCACGAAGAAGGCGAACACGATGTGGTAGCGGCCCGTGTTCGCCGCCGCACCGAAGTCCCCCTTTCGAACAAAAGGCCCCTTGAAAAATTGAAAGGCGCTCGCAAGCTGAGCAATAAACTCGAAAAGGTTAGATTACGAACATAACAAATCTCAAATGCCGCGATGGGAGCATGATGGGTTATAAAGTCAGTGCGAGTTGTACCACTACCGCAAATGTGTCGACGCCACAAACTGACAGACCAACCCTGTACCGTTCACTATAACTTTAAATTATACGAATCAAAAGCCTTTGAACGTTGAGGATTTGAGTCGAGGTTTACCTCAGAAAGATATATTTAAAAACAAAAACAACATTCTGGACCTTTGTTTATTCCGTCCAAGATGTAATGGTTATAATATTTAGTTCGGTAGAGGTGCAGTCAATGATATTTTGACCTGTCTCGTTGCTAAACATAACTGCATTAGAGACGGCTTTGAACGATGAGTATTTGAGACCAGGTTAACCTCATAAATTTTAAAAACAAAAAGACAGCATTAAGGATCTTTGGTTATCCCGTCGAAGATGTGAGGTTTATAATATTTAGTTCTTAGAGCTACAGTCGACGACATTTTGAACTGTCTCATTGCTAACGCGTTACCAAGCGTTAAGAGATGAACCTATCGGACCATCTCCTCACCCATCGGATGAGGAGATGGTCCGATACATCGGAACTTTTTCGCATTGGGTTGAACGATTTATCTACACATTTTAAGTACAGATATTAACACTAAAAAACATCTTATTTCAAAAACATTAAAGGCGACATCTCTCAGAAATATACATAGTATAAATCTCATTTGAGAAAGTGTGTTTGCTGTAAAGAAAACACACTAGATGACGCCAAGCATTACTAAAAACTAAAAATGCAATAAAAACAAAGTATTTAAAATGTCGAAAATTTCGCGCAGTCAGGATATCGACCGATTAGATTAGTGGTTAGAACGTCAGGCGCGTGAGCCGGATGGCGTAGGTTTGAATCCGGGAAAAGATTTTCGACCATTTATCGACACATTTTAAGTGAGAACATAAAATTATGAAATGTATACACATTAATACGTAAAATCAAAGAATATTAGCTGCTACAACTTTGAAAAAATATAACTATTGTATGTTACAAATGCTATTAACTAAATGTATATAAATGATACGCAAAAAAAATCGATTTGTTAACTAAATCTACTTCTACCTAAAATATTTAGAGACATACTGTATGAATTCAATATTTTATTTATTGCGAGCTCCATGGATACATCCAATAGGAATATAAAAAGAAAACTTGTCATATATTAATTATTAATAAGTATTATACTCCTATCTTCTAAGCCCTGATATTGACTTGTAGACGGAACATATATGTTGAACTTCTTTTTTTTATTGAACCCTATAATTTTCATTAAAATCCGTAGCGTCCTTTTGAAGCCTATTAGAGGCCAATTTTCAGACATACGAATAGACTTAAATTTTAAAGATAGTCGTAGAAGATTTTGGATTTGGCATGTTTTTTAAATAGTAGCACTGGTATTTCTAGCACTTATTTTGAAATCACCGAAGGATACTTCCAATTTTATGTATTGAAATAGATATAGATAAGTTTTTGTTATTAGAACGTACAGAAAATCATTGAACTATGGCCATGTATTTAAAAACAAATACAAGTAAACTAATAGAGTACAATAATTTTTCCCGCTAGTGACAATACAAGGAACAGTTATTCAGAAATTATGAGACGTCTTGAAATAACAATCTATATTTATTGATAATTCTTTTTAACATTTTCATTTTTTTTAAATGTTTATATTGTGCAGTTAAATAAATCAGAAATTCATAATAACCGGGCCATTTTATAGACTACATTCCACTATATTGGAGACCAAATTTGAGTAGTTGATAATGACCCTGTCTCTTGCGCCAGAGGGTATGATGGGTTCGAGCACCAACCACTACTAGAAAAATATTGTGAGATGAACTTTGTGTCGGGGATGTTTATTTGTCTATAATATTTATACAGCGTGTCGTTACCATCGCGACAATAAATGAACACACGTATAACGCTACTTGCCAATAATCATAAAAAAATATTAACGTTAAACAAAATCCATCGCTAAAAAAAAATATTTTTCAAACAAACTAATTAAGTAAAAAAGAAACAAAATTTGTAACATCCTATACAACTCGCGCCACAGCGTCGTATTACAAACCTCGCCTTCTAACAGTATGTTTTGTCTCTTTTAAGTTCATTCAACCCATTCATATGCTTTGTGACCTTTACAAATGAACTTAACGTTACGCTTTTATAGGTAAGGGTGTTCTAAAATTCTTTATTTTGGAAAATTTAATAACTCTGTAAATATTGGTGTTTAAAGAATTTACATGTTTAATACAACTTTAAAAAGTTATCCGATGTATGTGTGTTTATTTATTGTCGCGATGGTAACGACACTCTGTATACAAAGGAAAAGTGCGTTTAAGTATATTTATCAGTTACCTAGTATCTGTACATAGTACACGCTTTGCTTTACTATATAACCTTGTGTAAAAATGTCCCGAAATATTTATTCAGTTATTTATGGCTAAGGCCGCGACGACAATCTAATCGAAACCTTTATTAAATCTGGTTTTATATTTGATACGCGATAATTGATTAACGACATTTTTGACACTATTACTAAGGTAACACTATTGCTATGAGCTGTGATAATTGTTGTGTCCAAAATTTAAGCCTTGGGAGGAGAGGGACAGGCTTGCTTAAAAACTTCAATAATGAGCTTCTAATTAATTTTTCGCCTACGGTAAATACTTTCATTACCAAAAAAGTAGGTATTTCTCGCGATAGTAAGCCTACCTAACTATAGAAGGAATAAAATAAGCTGGCATCTAGAAGAGTATCGAGTACCTTACTTGTATGTATCTGTATCGGGTCAATCAATACTACATAGCGTCTAGGCATCTTGCATGGATCTGTTACATCGTATTATTCGGCCGAATGTTCGGTTCGGTATATTTGGTACCGAATGTGCGGCCGAATATTTATTTTATATTTTATTTCGTATTCGGTTGAGTCTATATTAGAATCCTCTAAATATTAGAATCACCCCCACTGCGATGCTCGAACCGAGTAAATACATGGTATTTACTTTTAATAGGTGTATAGACAAGTCGTTTAATACATAATGATTAATGTAAGAGCGTTTTCGCAAAACAGCGATTTCTTAGATTTAAGTGAATGTTGCACATCCCTACTTACATTTAATATTATAAATGTGAATATAAGTTTGTTATTACGCTTTCACGCCAAAACTACTCAACCGATTATCATAAAACTTTGTGCATATATTCTTAGAGGTATTAAAAATGACATAGGATTCATTTTTATTAAAAAAATTAAAAAAAGACATTTATTTAAGGGCTTCAACACGAGCGATGCCGGGTGTAAAAGCTAGTTGGAAATAGAACTGTTTTATTCTGTTTAATTTATGGTCATTAACTTTAACTGGCATTTCTAATTTTACGCGAAAACACAATTGTATTCACAATTTAAGGTCCAGAAATCCGTAACAATTTATAATCGAAGCTTTGCGGTCTGTCTAAGAAGTTAGTTCAATGAAACTAAGAAGCATTAATAGACACACGACATTTAAATATTTTATATATTTTACACTTATTTTAAAGGGCGATTGTTGATCAAACGCTAGTGATGTTTATAACGATCGGGGAATAAATAAAATGATGACTGTTATCAGGAAGTGTTAGGTAAAAAGCGGGATATTTTCCATTCACTTTCCGGGTTTGCAAATGTTTGCTCAAAGCATTGTATACTCGCATACTATATTACTAGAACAGTTATCTGTTCTAGTTACATACTTATCTGTGAATGCGATCGTATGATGCAGATCTTCGCAACTCAGTAGACGATGTACGTTATCATAGAAATACATTATTATTTATCGCGAACGGTTAGGTTATGGTTTTTTTTAAATTATTGAATAAATTAGACAACAGATGCGATGTTCTTAGTACGCATAAATTCTCTCTTTTTGGTGAATAATAAAAAATATCTAATTATGAACCGATTTAAAATATTTTTTAAAAAACGCTTTTTTATTTTCATGCATTTTAACTTTATCTTTTATATTAATAGTTATGTCGTACTGGTTAATGACAATCAAGTGATTGATTCGCCATTAAAAAAATTATCATTTCGCGCTTAGTCAGAGGTATTTATTAAAAAAAAATGACACCATTATTACTACCGATCAGACAGACTACGTTATTACTACCGATCGACGATCGTGATTCAATTTTAATATCATACCGTTTCAAAACAGAAGGATTGATTACTAACAAATAATATCTCTTGTGCTTTGCACATGCGATGACAATAAAGCAATGACGGTATATGAGCATTACGTGATATATTTATGTTTACTCAAAACATAAGCTATCTACTGCACTCTGATGCCTAATTAGTAAAAGATAAGATAAGAGATGACCTGTAGATCTATTCTGAAAAACGAAACATTCACGATTTCGTCTTATTGCTACTCCTAAATTATGTTATTCGTTTGACGAATATGATTAGGATACCCGAAACTATGGTCCGATTCGCGTCCGAAACGTATCGGATCGGTATTCCGACAAAACGGGAAAATTATTATCGTATTCGTTTTCCGGAATAAATTTACCGTTTCGACAAACTACTGAATAACTGAATGGAATGTTTAATGGCGTGATGGGATGAATATAGATAGAGAAATTTTTTTACGCTTATCATGTCCATGCATTCTCTAGTTAACGTGCCATTCTCAATGAAACGATCGCAGTGGGCGTGCTTGTATTTCTTATACATCTGCGAAAAGATGCGATAATTCATTTAGGAGGATAAAAAAGTCTCTTTCGAGAACCTTCGAGCGGCTTAACGCGAATATGTTTAAATGAACCCCTTTTCTCACAATGGCTCAGTGGTTCTATGAGATGATCTAATGGGGCCTTGGCAAAATATTAATACGGGGAGATATTCATTTATTTTCTCCTCTGGTTGGGTTATATACATATTAATATTATCATTCATTTATATATATTAATATTAATAATATTATTACTATTGTCCGAAGGACCGTCGCGGACCTTGATTAATATCTTGATTGTTAATATTATTAACGGCTTGTTATAAATAGAAAAGAGATTGAGTACATTACTGACAATCTTTGATCATATTTGTCGACTTCTACACACAAATCCATAAGAGTAGACTGAATTGGTGCCAGTTACTTCGTACCAAATATACTAGAAACGATCCTGTTGGCGTATAGTTGAAATTTGCGCTATAGGATCATCGCATTAGCGTTAGATCTGTCTACCCATTTTGGATACGAGTCGTGAGTGCTCATTCGTTGAGCGTAATTTTCACTCCTTTAATGCAAATTGGACGCATAGATGTGACGTAGCCCGATTTGCTTTCACCTGCGTGCTCATTTTGTCTACTCCTGTTTGATCATCGATTCAAAAGTTGACGACCCCGTGGCGCAGTTGCAAAGGTATTGGCTTCGGCGTCGGGTGTCGTGGGTTCGATTCCCGCACGGGATAGCGATTTGTGTGACCGACAGATAACTGTTTCGGATCTGGGTGTGATTTTTGTATGTAAAACTTCCTTATAACACAGGATAATGTTATCGTACGGTGAGGGTGCGATGTTTTCAAAGGGAAGAGTACAATAGACCTTTCCGGGTTGTAGTGGTTGTTGGGACCGAACCCCTTCCACACAAAATACAAGTACTAAAACATGTTCGACATGCAACCAATTTAACCATCCTTTTGTCAACTTAAATGACATTTGAAAAGCCATTTGACAGCTGATATACAGCTACGATGATTAGTGTTTCAGGGCCGAAAAGTAAAGGAAGTATTAATGTCAAACAATTCCTAATGAAAATTAATAATCAATCTGTTACACAAAATATTATATTAATAATATCATACTTTATATGCAATGTTAATTTTTAGATCCCGTTCACATGTAATGTGTTTTGTTTACAATTACCATTGAATACATTTGCACTGATTTGTTTATATAATAAAAAATGTATAACACCATCATACCATATATATAGATATATATATATTTTAATTTTTACCTAATTCCATCTTAATACTTTCACCATCATCATGGTGCATGTCATTATTTGTTTTTCTTAATATGAATTAAAATTCAACATCAAGATTCTAAGAATTTCTAATGAACTATGTACCTCAGAATATATTATGTTATACTTGTTTGTGAACTATTCATAACATATTCACATTTGGTATTTATCATGTGAGCAAGTCCCGAATTAATAATAGAGTGTTAAGGATGATAATTTTCTTAAATTTAAACATCCTTTCAATTTTTTAAATATCATTGATAATAAAAAAGAACAGCTAAAGTAAAGACAAAAGTTCTACTCGGTAACTTAGCACATCTAAATAAAGGTATTTATTGTGAAATGTAGAGTAAATAAATCATATTTGACAGAAATGTGCATTCCATGCAATTATTGTAGTCTAATACTTAGGTCAGAGGAAACAGTAGCGAGAGTGTGATTTAAGAGATCTACCTTCCAGAACTTAATGAAGTAAGGCAGGCACGTTGACATGACGAATAGACAGTAGAGGAGCGCATAACCAAGGAAGAGCATGAAGAACTTGTAATTGTGGAAGCAGACACAATTGTTGACCCACGGGCAGTGATGGTCCATTTTAAGAACGCATCGGGAGCAGATGCTGCAGTGGTGTGCCCGATCAGGTTTCACTAGCACACAACGGTTGCAATAGCGCACCGAGCCAGACATTGTCCTGGAATACAACAAATGGTCTTAGTAGATATGCTATTAAAGCATAGGAACAAATATTTTTTATTCACAGAAACTGCATGATATAAATTTAATATAGGCATTGTTATTTTGAGCTCATAAAAGAAATTTGTTCAAGTAGTAGTTTACCTAAATGACTACATTGGTCATACATTTCATTATTATTATGTATCATCATGTTTAAATATAGTTAGATAACAAATAGTATTTGCTAATAAAAAGTATCCTTACCAACACTATAAACGCGAAAGTCTGTATTTATGGATGGATGTTTGTTACTCTTTCTACTACTGAATGGATTTTAATGAAACTTTACAATAATATAGTTTATACATCAGAATGAGACATAGGCTATAATTTATATACATGTTTTATGAATATCTGTCTTTCTGTCTGAATGTTACGCCTTCAGCCGATTCCGGGCAGATGTAGTCACAGGCAGCAGCTAGTGCTTAATATTAAAAACTCAAGTTTTTTTTATATTATATTTAGCAAGATTCATGTTATTGTATAGATAACTTTATGTCAAAGGAAACAAAACATTTTTCATCGTTATAAAGTTAAGAACCATTATATAATTACACCTAGGCATATTACCTAATGATACTTAGTGATATTAACTATGTTTAGGAATGTGAATTAGGTCATAGGAACATAAAACTTAATATAAATATAAATAAATGAAAATAAACTATATTTTCTATTGATTTTAAAATTACTGTTTACCTAGTTACTATAGGCAAGTCTTTGGCGAAATTCTCCAAAATTGTCCTTTGTGCATCTTCTGACTCTGCGCTAAGTAATCTTTCCAATTCCTCTTCTGGTAACTTATACTGCAAGAATGGGTAAGCGTTTTTACTGTTTATCACATATTAAATTCAATCTTTTAATAATCAAGTTATTGGTATATATTGGGCTTATGGAGTTGTTTAGCAAATTTATATTCTTTTGTATTGAGGGGGTACTCTTTAAAAATTAACATGAGTTGTATAATATGCGAAGTGCTTAGTATACAAGTCATGTTCATTGTTTACACCACTGTAAAGATCTCATCACTGTAGACTTCTGGAAAGATAACACCTTCCACATTTCACACTTGTTTCAGACAATACTAGACATTTCAAACAGGTGTACAGAAGTGGATAATCATAGCCCATCCAATTGCCAAATGCCTTTTTTAGTTGCCTTTTTTTAACATGCAGTGAATAGTTTAGCCCTACCATAAATCAAATAGATTTTAATCCTAGATAGTTAAAGGGGCTTTTTATGACTTTTAACAATTTGGGTGTATCAAAGAAGAAAATATAAATGGGGTATAGTTTTTATATGATTGAATAATAAAAGAATTCTTAAGAGAAATTTATGTAATTATTTTAAATGAAAGAAACATTAAAATAAAGATATCGATAACACTTATTAGCAGCAGAAGATGAAATATGTTCCTTAACATACATAACTTCAAAAAGAGTTAATGGAATCCTATAAATTGATGGGACAGACCTAAAATAGGACATGGCCTTTTATGATATTAAATTCATCATAACAACCTAAGAATTTAATGTATTTAGGTCATGGAAACCTTAAATGGCTACTTGGAATACATAGCTACAAACAGCATTGGATCCTTAAAAACATTATAAAATGATATTAAAACTTACTTTTTCAGGAATGGCTTTTATATCAGCAAATATCGTCCGCCAATAAGACCAGCAAAACATAATCAATAGGATATGATAAACTATGAGATAAATACATTGTTGAACAGTACTTTCAATTGTAACTGAAAATCATTAATAAAATTAAACTTATATGGAATACACAATAATTAATATAAATTTATTATTGAACTATTAACTTACAAATGCACAATTGGATAACGTATGCATAGTAAGACCAAGTTATTATCGACACTACCAACAATACTGGAAGCCATTTAAAAGCTCTCCAACACCACATATTGCAAGTCCTGAAACATGCACAAGATCTTGGGGGCGACAACCTATTATTATGAACGGATGATGCCATTAATGCAACTTTATTAAAAAAATATCCATTATTCAATATTCAATTAGTACGAAAATGACAACATCAAAATGAAAGATGAAAGTTGTAAGTGTTACAAGCAAGCTACAATAATATTATAGGTTGCTTTTGCACAACTTTAATAGATGAAAGTTGCAAGAATGTTTACAAGCCATAAAATGTAATTTTATGCAACAAATTTTTTGGAAAGAGAATATTTTTATACGATATATAACGAGTTTTTTTTTTTATATATTTTTGAAGTTATACTTCTTTTGGCACATTAGGGAAAAATAATGAGAGTAAATTACGATGCGCGCGCACACCGCCACAAAAAACCGACACCCTGATGTTAGCTTGATGACTCCGTTGCGCAGTTGCCAAGGTATTGGCTTCGGCGTCGGGGATCGTGGGTTCGATTCCCACACGGGACAACTATTTGTGTGACCCACAGTTAGTTATTTCACATCTGGGTGATTATCCCGTGAAATTTTTGTTGAAAAATGTTATTACAACACAAGATAATGTTATCCTAAAGTAATTAACAACGTAATTATTTCCCATATCGATTCGCGTTTTTATTCACTCTTACGCACATCACTATGCGACTTCGTAGAGTCCTGAAGTACGAAAGAGTTAGACATTAAGAAATATTTCATGGCCCGACTATTCGATTGATAGCAAGCCGATTATATTTTAGTTAATCCACTGGCTTTGACAGTCCGTTGGAAGCGATGTATAGCGGAGACCTGAACGTGGTTCTGGTGAACCACCTTAACATTTTTTTGTTTAGTTTGCTTGCACAGGCAGAGCAGACGATCGGCGGACTCAAAAGACTACACGATTCCTGTTAATGAAAGATGAACAAGTCAACTAACAATGGGGGTGCGACACGATCCACGGGATACTGCACTTGATTGTTTGAATCTCGGCTGGCCATTGCTAGTTAAACCAATCCAGAGAAAATAATAAGGTCGAAATTGCAATTTAATACCGACTCAGAACGAATGATCGTTTACGAAAATAAACTCATGAATGTAATTATTATACAAAAGCAATTAGTTTACCTAAGTAAATTCTGTAACAAACAGGATTTACGAAAATGATCAATTCGCGAAAACCATTAATCTTAAAAAGTTAAACTATTCATATTTATATACCTATCGAGCGAACGGTCTTATATTTCACTATTAAATAACAATAACACCAAGTGCGGAGTCGGACGGCAGCAGGAGAATTAAATTGCATAATTCGTAGTTTGTCGTTTAAACCATCAAGCAGCGTCTTGGATCCCCGTTCCGAGAGGGTAGAAGATGGATTTCGAAAGCTTTTACCGACAAACTTGAATGAAAATGGATATAATATATATCATAATGAGCCGATTGCGAGACAAAGGAATTGATTCTGGATTAGCTGTATTTTGAATGTGCTAAACATAACTCGATTATGTCATAAAGGGTATTCATGTTTTAAAAGATGAACTTTACACGGTTAAACATAGAAACTTTTTTTATCGGCAAGCACGTTTAATGTAGATTGTAGGTAATTATCCGCATTTTGTCACGATTAGTCGCTTAAATGATATGTGACAGAGAATCGGCTAAAGTACTGATTCCTAAAGAACGCCCTTCTTTAGGAATCAGTACTTTCAAGTGGTTTGGCGGGATGGGGCCCTGTCGATCCAAACTAGAATTATCGGGTCTTATGAATACCGATGACATGATCTTCTTTACACGTAGTTAAGAGCAGCTGTTAAGAAATACGATAAATATCACTAAAAGGCTATTGATGTGGTCAGGAGGTCATTTAATCACTCTGAGATAGTGTTTTGATTTCCAAGAGCGTTTTAGTGTTTTTTTTTTTAATTTTGAATTATGGAAGTAACCTCGCCTACTTCTACTAGGGGTCCCGTTGTTGTTGGGTAATCCATTGGTGGAGCAGGGGATCTAAATTGCACTTCCTCGTCTACATTGCGTAATTGGACGGGAATTGTAGCCAATATTGATCGATTCTTTCTTTCAACTCAATAACTTCTACCAATCTGTGGTAGTCACTCCTTCAATTTTCAAATACTCTATGCGTATCAACTAAATGTCAAGTAAAAACAATCTAAAAGTTTGATTTTCCCTGTAGCGTCAAATTTTGTTGTTTTATAGTTCCCAAATATTTTTTCCATACAGTTACTCGATTTTAAATCATGGAAGTTAAAGAATGTAATGATTTAAATGAGGAAGTACGCATTAATATAGTAAGATTTTATATTAAAGAAAGTGAGTATTGATTGTTATTTACTGACATGACGTGTTTCAGAATCAATTCATCGTAGACGATGTGAGTAAAATTATTAAAGAAGCTATTGAAAATTCAATCGGCGGCACGGCGTATCAACATAACAAAGTCAATCAATGGACTTCAGCTGTGGTGGAGTCATGTTTGAGTCAACTTACAAAGTTACAAAAACCTTATAAATATATAGGTAAGTTTGTGTAGGTATACCAACACCGGTTACAACATTAGCTGAATGTATAATTTTTACCTATAGATTTATTATCTTTATCATTTTAAACAAGGGATATCATTATTAATTTTGTAAACAGGTTAATAGTTTATGAAATCCATGACCATAATGTACACTAATATAGGTGTTATGTCTCAGACATAAAAATAACAAGGCGTCTTTATGTTTCTTTTTGGTTAGTACCTAGGTGTGCAGGCCAATACAACAAATTATTATTATGATCTAATATATTTTGTATGGATCTTATAAAAATAAGGATTTAAATGGTAATGGAACATATTTATCTTTGTTATTACATTTTATTTCAATTGAATTATATAAAGTTACATACCTAAGTGCTACACAATTTTACGAGGCAACATCTTGCGTCACATCTTTATTTAAATGAAACACTTGAAAGTGCTGGAAAAAAGATTCAGTGTTTATGCCATATGAAAAAAATGAGCATGATTTAATAATTTATTTTTATCATCAATTCAATTTTTTATAGTCCATTGCCTTCTCAACAGATCTTGTCTTTTAATAGCATAAAATAATTTCAATGCACTTCAGTAAAAAATATATTTTTCTTATGTTTCAGTGACATGTACAATAATGCAAAAGAATGGTGCAGGACTTCATACAGCCTCATCATGCTTCTGGGACAATAACACTGATGGATCTTGCACTGTACGCTGGGAAAACAAGACCATGTACTGCATTGTTTCTGTTTTTGGGCTCGGCATTTAATATGAGTTTTGCACAAATTATTGTTACCAACCATATATATTTCAAATTTGCTTATCAAAAAGTACACAATAATATTCTTGACTGGTAATTGTCTGCTGTATGTTTTTAGATTGCTGTAAATTAATCAATGTCTCGATAAAAGATTAAGGGCAATACTATATTTTTTTTTCTAGATAAATTAATTATTCATAGGTATAGTTATAATGTTGATAGGTGATTGGAGATTTTAGTATAATTACATTGAAATTAATCACATCATTAATGCATGAAAAAATTAAGGTATTTAATAAATCTGTGAGTTTATTTCTTAATATTTATAAATACATTGCATTGTACTCTCACTTGCACATTGTAATTAAATTATTTACTTTTCAGTTTTAGACAGATTTGCTAAAAAATATCAATTGAAACTTAAGTTAAAAGTCATTACTTAATTTTAAGTAAGTAGGATATATTTTCTTACACAATAAAATATATTTAAAGCCATCTGAATAATTTTATTTTACCTGTCATCATTGTATTTTATTTAAATGTGTTTATTTAAATTTAACATATCAAGATCATACAGAAGCATTTCTTATTTCATGGAGACATCTAACTATTGGTTACAACTGCAAACAGATCTGTACCTCATAGGTAAACAGGATTATGCAACAAAACCCAAATTGTTGCTTTGTCATTTTTGATGGCATTTGATGCCATATATGAATGGATATTTTATTAATTAGGTGTTGTGGGAGAGACTTAATGCTTGTTACTATTGTGTGGAGTTTTTTCTTGCGATTTTAATGGTGTAAGAAAAATAATTTTGAAAAATGTGTAGTTACTATTGTATGCCTCTGAGGTACAGAAATAGGACAATTTTTTATTTCAAAGATTTTGTTATTAATGATTATAATTTCTTTGTTAGACAGAAAATTTAACTCTCACAATGCAATTTTCTTACTATAAATTCAGAAAGTTTTAATATTTTAATGAGAACATGTTTAAATGATATTCAGTTTTTCATGAAAGTTTACTAATAAATTACCATTAAATTTCATTACTCAGTTTATCATGAAATTTTAGTAATAAATTATTATTTATTGGTTATAGTTATGTGCAGGAATGTGATTTATAATAGAATGTTATTCTAGAGCAAGTCAGAAAGATTGAATTCATATAATGGAAATCACTGGTAAACACTGCTGACTTATAGATAAATAATTGTTACCGTTTTAGACTATACATACATTTATGTACATTTATGTATGTATAGTCTAAAAGTTGAAACACAGTACTTTTACTCTTGCTCTCCAATATTAACCATGCCAAATAAAATAGTTAATTTTCTGTTTTGATTTATTGCACCTTTGTTCCGAAATTCATTAAGATGCCTTTACGACGCGAAGTGTGAAGAAATACATGCAAACTTATAAAGTTATAATATTAGTGCGATTACCTTAAAAATTTAGTTCATATTAAACAAATTGAAGTGGTTTAATATTTAAAAAAAAATTATTTAAATCACTAATAGTTTTATGATAGCGTGTTAACTCTACAATAGATATTTAAAAAAAGAAGAGATTTTTTAGTAATGAAATGTCAAAAATGAAAAAAATGTTTAGTTCTAGACCTAACTATAGTGATATTTAAAGAGCACGCAGCAGCCATATAAACAAAGACAATAATTTTAAATTTCGCGGGTAGCATTTTGAAGCGCGAGATATTTGTGTCACGTGACTATCATAGTATCATCGATCCAATGGTTGAGCGCGTCGCGGGTCCATTCAACTCAGTTTCGGGCAGCGCCGGGGAGGGACACTTCACAACACCGATTCTATTCATACATAGGAAATATTGATATATTTCTATCTCACTTACTCGTATTGAGAAATAATTAAATGAATGGTGAACGAGCGAAATGGGAATACGTTCGAGTGGAAATTATTATGAGCCAGGCCAGGCCAGTCGCCATGTAGAATTTTTGATGTGGGTGTTGTGTCTCGGGATGTCAAACGTTTCAATGATTATTATTTTCAAGTGATTGTTGAATTTGATGCAATTTACCACCAGAAGTACTTATTTGTGATATACATTAATACAGTGAACACATTGCTTTGTGATTGTGAACAATTCAAGTGTGGTCAAGGCAGATAATGGACTGGTGGGGGGCTGCTAAAATACTACGATAGGATAGTAACAACGTTTTACAACTCGTGTGGTGTTTGAGGTGCTCTTAAAATTTTTCATCTCGCCGCGAGCGAGTCGAACTTCCATTTTGTTTTATTATGTGGCTAGATCGTTGTTTACACGGTGCATCAAGCTTACGACAATGGAAAGCGACGGTGAGTAAGTAGCCAGTTGGGGCACGATGTCTGCGCATGTAGGCCGCACACGACAGTAATCTTGCATCAGTGAATAAGTAATGGTATTCGATTTTGTGCATCGTCGTGTGGCGCAGTCGACCTAGCGGTACGATCATTTCATTAGTCATACTTGGTCCACGCGCCGCTGCCGCGGTAGCTTCACCGACGTGGACTTACGCGTAAAACGATTGTAAACTAATTGATTTCAGTTTGAGCGTAAGCATGCGCCTGTCGTATGCAGCGTACTACGTACGTCTCCTCGTTTCGTATCGCCCTTATCAGCTGACTATACTTTGAGAAATGCACCACAAACCTTGCAAATCGAATGTTTATAAATAATCTATAACTCAATTCACCCATTGCTTCAGTATGATTTTAATGTTATCATGGCTCCATTTTTCTGCTTTTTCCATTTTAATAGCTTTATTCTTTGATAACTTTATGAATATATAATATTTAGATGCAAATCATATTCATTTTCAATTTTTACTGAAGTTAATCATAGTTAAATGTCATTCTTATAACAATTCTAGAAAAGATCACAACAGAAAATAAAAAGAGAAGTGAATTTAAAAAACAATATTTCTCTATTCATTTGAATGAAGCCTAGAGTGATTTTACTCTCATCAAATTTCCTTTTGATAATTAGTGTAATTAAGAAAAAGGAATTTAAATTTTATACACTTATATCTTTTGATAATATTATAATATCTATCAACTATTAGGCTGATTGTTAAAGTTGAAAATCTGATACAAAATTTTGAATATAAAAGACTTCAAAGTACCCGCGCTTAGTTATATGCATTGACAAGTTGATCAATTATTGAGAAAAGTATTTGTCAATAAAAGTACTAGAAATGTGATCTTTCATTTGGATGTTTTATGGTAGTAAAGTTATACAGACTTTAAATACTATTATAATTTTTGAAGAAGCATAATCCTCTCATCTCACTGTATAATGTTACCAATCAACACTTAAATAAATAATTTAAAAATTTTATTTCTTTCAAATGATTATATTAATTACAATTACAATTATATTATCAATTTGAAATTGATAATTTGAAAAAAAAAAAAAAAAAGACAATGAGCAGTAATGTAGAATAAATAATTTATAGTAAACTTTTTTGGGTATATATGTAGAACTGCAAGAACCCCTCTTAACGGAAGGTTTCTCACATTTAGTTTATACCTACTATTTTTATAATATTGTCTGCCCAGTGCGCATTTGGTCTTTTACTTTTCTCTGGTCCAAACCATGATGTGGTCTTTTGGTCTAGCCATTGTCAGTAAATCTGGCTATATGTCCAGCCCATCACCATTTAGCTTTTGTGCGTAATTTAGAGCATCAATAGCTTTAGTCTTCTGTCTTGTGGCGAATTTTATTGATTTTCTTAATCTCTAGAATGCTTCTTTCCATGTTTTGTTCTTTTGATCTTATTTTTTATTTTCCTTGTAAATTTTCATGTTAATATGATTGATATGTTATTGATATTATATGCCTTATATGCCTGATATGTTAGTGAGATTTATCAACACTTACTGATATTATATTTAAAGAGATCAACATAATCTATTTTATTCATTTTTTGTAAGGCAAAGCCTGTTATTTTTACTCGAAGTTGGAAATGATTTTTTCAATAAAAAGATTCCCCATCTTGGGTAACTACCTCAACCTCACAATGGTCCGGCGTGAAGTGGGACTGTCAAACTTCTGCATTTCTTCTTGTGCTCGAGGTGGCCAGGGCCCAGTTTATTAAAAAGTGGCAATCTACGGGTGTTGCATATGTAATTTGGGCGGTGGTTATCGCTTAACATCAGGTGAACATGCAGCTCGCTTGCCACCTTCTCACATAAAAAAAATGTATCTTACTTTTATTTAGACCTTCTTTTTTGTTTTTACGGAGGGGAAATCTTCTAAAGATATTATTGGGGCTCGTACCCACTAACGCACCGGTGTCCTTCGGTACTGCGCTTGAGCATGCCTCGGAGAAGGACAGACCTTCCCCGATACTCTCACCATCTTGCATAGGTTAGAAAGAGCACTTAGCACTATTGCCATCGGGCATAGACTAGCAAAAGCAGTTCGCACTATTGCTAGTGCTGTGCGCCACCTAGTTAGGAAAACAGTTTAGAATTAAGGAAAATTATTCTTTCACATAAACTAGACGAGTTAAGCTTTGGCTTAGTTGAAGTTTGGGCGCAACAATGGCTGAAACATCGCTCATAGCTGTTTAAAAAAATTAGGAGATTGATTAGGTTGTTTATATTATATTCCAATAATAATTGCAATTGTAACTGTTGATCACATAACAACACAACTCAATTCAAAGACACGCTTTTATTAGCTTGGTTAGTATGTATCGTATCTCTGTATGTACTTATGTAATTTCTTTATAAGTGATTTTGCCCAATTTCAAATCATTGAATCGAATTAAAACTGCCCACTTATTAAGGATCGATGACAATGAAATAATTTAAATAGTTTGTCCTATAATCCGAATCGGGACCAAACTAGATCGATACTTGTATTACTTGATTACAATAGGGCATATCAAGTGGAATGTTTTTCACAAACAATAAAGGCAAGACCAACCGTGCCGGCACATACGAACATCTGTTTAAATGTCAGAATATTCACACGCCAAA